CATGGGAAGGTTGCCAATGCTACCAGTCATCTGAGAAAAGTGAGATTTCATCGTTGTAGCTATCTGTAGCTACCAGTTTGGATGATTTGCTTCCATTTATAAATGCAGCCCCACTCTTTGGATTTAATAATCAATTTTGCAGTGCATTTTTCTTTTGATTTGACAGAACAACTTGCTGTAGCTGTTTTGGGCTGCAGACAGATGGTGGAGTCTGCCTCTTCTGATTGCTTCAGACAGTGCTTGACTACTGCTTTTGCTCTTTAACAACTATGACGAAAACTTGCCATGAGTCTATATGAGAGGCCTCTTGGTAAGACTCCTTGTTTGGTCCTTTGCTGTGACAGCTAACAACAGTAATAATTCTTTTAACAGTGTTAATTGACAGAAAGTTGTATAAGCTATTGTTGTACTTCTCTGCTACTGTGATGAATAAAATAAGGACATTTTTGAAGCTCACTTCTTCCAGTTGGACTGTCGGTAGCATTTATGTTTCTGGTGCTGGTGACACTTCAGTAACAGGCAGAGGAGTTACGGGTGTCAGTTTGAAATTCAGGGGATCTTGCATTTGATACTACTCTGCGTGGGCATTTTTTAATTCAGCACAGTCTGTTAATTGCACTGTATTTTATTCAGAGATTTGTTTAATCTATATTTTACCAAATTGATAACCAAATGCTTTTGTTTTAATTTTCTTGTTATGAGATTATTATTTTTTTAATTTCTATTTGGCCAAGTTCCTTGCCTTTGTGGTTAGAGGGAAGGGATGAATTTTGAAACTTTAAGGAGTGTAGATACTTTGTGAATCTTGCTAAAGGATCAGAAACAATGCTTGATAGAGGAACTGTTGTTTTGGTTTAAGTTAATAAACATGAACACCAGTCTAACTCCTAATTCATAACTAATTATAACAACATTAATTTACAAAATTAACTGTTTCATGTGTGGTAGACAGATAGTTGCTGTGTGGCTTGTCACCATCTGCCACAGGTAACAGCTACCCTCATCCAGACATCCTGGCTGCACAAAGAGAGGCTCATCAACAGCTCTTCTCCAAGAAGATTCCCATTCTTTGAAGCCCAGCAGTTCATCCCAGTCTTCCCCACTGGCATAAAATCCCAGAGCAGCAGACAGTAAATTTGAGGATTTGGGCTGTTTCATCCTAGTATTTGTGGTTGTTATTTTTCTTGGATTTTAACTGTGGGTAAGATGGAAGCTGGATGGTCTTACAGAGCTATTAGTTTGACACAGAAGAAATATTCCTGAGCTTTTGAGTTTACATAGTCTATTCAAATCCAGATGTTTGCATTGGAGTTTTTCAGGATTTTGCAAAGTAGTTTTAGTGTGCTCCCTCTCTCTCCCTCTCCCCAGCTAGTTAAGGTTTTAAAACAGGAGCTCTGAATAACTGCTGTGAGGAGGAGCAGTGCAAGCCATTAAGATGCATGTATCTGAAGACTTTGTCACTAAATCTAGCTAATTAGCTTTTAGAACAGCTCTCTTCAGTGGAAAAAAGCATGCACCTCATGGATTCTTAGAATAATCTGTAAATCACTTTGTAAAATCTGTATTCGAGTATTTCATAGATTTCTCTTATTCTGAATTCTATTAATAATCCCTTTGTGACTGAAACATTGATTTTTGAATGACAGTACATTATTTATGAAAAGTTACTGTATTTCTGCAAGTAAGACCACTCTTCTAAAAGTGTGGAATGCCAACTGCCAGTTGAAAGGAAAGCAATTTTTAGTGCGTCCTTCAGTACACCCAGTGGAAGGTTATTTACTGTCAAGGCAAATGTTCAGTTATGTAAAGTGTCACATTATTTTAGTTTCAGAAAGGAGGCTTTGAAACAGTCTACTGTCTATATCGTACTAAAATTGTACAGCAAAATATTGCTGTGTGTGCTGTAAGGCTGAGTGTTTTTTCAAGTGATTCTGCCCCGAAGATCTCTGAAGTAGGTGGACGGCTTGTGTGTGTGATAGAAGCCGTGACTTAGGGCAGTCCTTCTCCTGTGAGCTGTGAAATGAGTGACACTAGTTTTATGTTCAACTCCTGGTCCTATGTGAACAGGGATTTTTGTGTCAAATGAGGCAGAACATAAAAAAGCGAAAAGTACATCTATAAGAATTTTTAAAAACACAGCCTTAGAACACTTTGATTTTTCAGGTGTTTGTCTCTTGAAGTTGCTTGGCTTTGAATAGGAATTTCTACCCCACAATTAAATAGTTAATAGAAAATTAACCAAAATTGGATAAGCAACCTTGTTAATCCTTGGAATTTCTTAACGTACCTGAATATTTTATTTTTTTTTTATACAATCAGGTTTGCTGTGTAAGCAAAGGGAATAAGACTGTATGTATCTGTTTGTTTAAAAAGGTGTTTTTTTTTTAAGCATTGCTTCTAGAGACATTAACTATGTTCAATGTATCATTGGCATTGTAGTGCATGTCACTGAAAAGAGCCAAATAAATTACCCATCATAGTTATGAAGAAAACTTGCCAATTGATTCTATTTCTCATAACTAAGTGAATGCAAAAATGCTTTGGTTAATTTTTTAAATGCTCAAATACAGAAATATACTGCGTGTACTCTTTTATGATGGCCTTGTTGACTTATTAGAGGTCATTCTATAGCTTGAAGAAAAGGAAGACCTTTCTCTTGCTGAATTTATTTAAAGAAAGGCACCCTCAGTGTATTTGAGAGCATTTACATCTGGATGTGTCAACAATTTCTGGTGTTAAACTGTGTTTCCCTTCTAGTAATTCCCCTGAAGTGACAGTTATATTTAATTTAATGTTTATGACACTGAATTTTCCTTTAAACCCAAATAAAAAATATTTTAAAAGATTTTATCCCAAGCAAATGCTCAAAATTAGTTTAAATATGTGCCAAGATCAGTCACACTTCAGAAAAATGTTACAGTAGTTCAACCACCTGGTAAGGAATAAGGAAAGTATCTCATGAGAAACAGTGTTAATCTCTTCCAAGCACAGGCATGCTGGGTGCTACAAAGTTCCCATGGCTGCTACTTCTGAGAGTGTTTCCCAAAATAAGGTAGTCTTGATGTGTCCACCTTCATGGTTTGTGTTTTACAGGTGCCAGGACTCCCCAAGAGTTACTTCTTGTCGAGTGACATTACTGATTGATTGTGTTCTCAGTGCTTTATAATTTTGTCTGTCCACTTAGGGTGGGCATAATGTCATATATTTGCTATCTGGCTACTCTTGAGGCTGAATTTAAATAAGATCAAATTTTTTTTAAATGAAGGAGAAGAAAAAAAAAATTGCGTTAGAGTAAAAAAAAAAAATGCTCTTTACTGCCTCTTAATTTGGTAAAATTCCAAATGTGTTTTATATGTGCAGCTGCAAAGTTGTTGTTTGCCAATGTTGTAATGTTTTTGGGGGTCAAAAGACCTGGGACTGTCCAAAAGCAGGCAAGTGCCACAGCTAGAATCTGCAGTGCCTGAGCAGTATTTGCTGTAACAGGGCAGGTGTACTGCAGTGTGAGTTTTCACTGCGTCAGAGGGAATAGGAATGGGGAAGAGATAACTGGGGTATCGCACAGACATGTGCCTCATAAGTAGAATCCAGAAAAGTCCCCTCATTACTGTTGTCCTTTCCTAGGCTGCAATGGATTTGAATTTTCTGAATGTTGTCATTCCTCTGGTGTCAACAAATGTTTGTTGAAATTCATTAGAAAAATGTTCCATTCCACTGTTTGTCCAGGTATATATGGGACGATGCCTCCTGGTGATGGTGTATTGATGGTTACTTGAAAGGATTGTATCGTGCTGATGACTTGGGAGAGTGCCAGAGGGCTTCATAATGATTTTTTTTTTCATTTTACTTAAAAAATAGCATTATTCTGTAAGCTTTAAATTTATTTCAAGCTGCGAAGTTCATCATTAAAACATTGAGAAATGATGTAATGAAGGTTGTTCATTTCCTATGCCCATATGCAGTTTTCCAGTTGCGTATGATTTTCCCCAAGGTTGTAGCCTGATTCAGTGCATTGAGTGGGCAATGTTCATTCTTAATCACTGGCTATTAAATATTCTTTATTCATTGTGTAGCCTGAGGTTTGTTTACTGCATACTGTTTTCTGAAGACAGAAAGGCTAATTTCCAAAAGAAAATGTCCAGATAATCCAAACAAAAAAATTTAATGTATTCTCACAAATCACTGAGGCCATACTGTCCTCGTTCTCCTGGAGATGTACAGGCAGAGGTCAGAAGCACATACATACTTCTCTGAGCCCATTTTGAAATGCTTAGTACTCCATCTCCAGGAGCATTTAGTTAAATACATTTGGTATTATATAAAACTGTTTCTTGGCCAACTTCAGCTGCTACTTGAATATGGGTGCTTCTGCAAGGCCTTCACAGCAAATGAGGAGCACAGTCTTATCTTTCTCATCCGTAGCCCCTACCCCTCAGTGGAAGTTTTTTTGTTGAAGTGATTTGCTTGCTGTTGCTCAGGGCTCTGACAGTCAGGTAATACCTGCTCCTCCGTGGCAGCATTTACTGTCTTTATCAGACAGCTTTTTTTCTTGTGGAGGACTGAAGAACAGGTTGTACTTACTGCATAGCCAGGTTTTGTTGTCAGATGATGTGTGTCCAGTGCACTTAGTGAGGCTGCAGTCTTAACAGAAATGAAAAATAACTGGTTATGTCACTAAAATCTGTATAGTATCTGCATACAGTGCTGCCAAATTACTGTGAGGGTGCCAGAGCACTGGGCCAGGCTGCCCAGAGAGGGGGTGGAGTCTCCATCTCTGGAGATGTTCAAAACCCGCCTGGATGCTGTCCTGTGCAGCTTGCTCTGGGTGAACCTGCTTTGGCAGGAGGGTTGGACTAGATGATCTCCAGAGGTCCCTTCCAACCCCCACCATTCTGTGATTCTGTGAAACTGAGATTGTGCGACCAAGCTTAATTACATTATTTTCAACTACTGAATGCTTTACTTTGATACCTTCATTGTATTTTGTGTTTTACTTGTGTTTAATGTACACCCAGTGGAATAACCTACTTAACAAGCGGTCTGACGTGACGTGTATGAACTTCTCAGAAAGTCGACAGCTGGTGCTCACGTAGCGATTGTGCAGGTGCACACGATCCTGTTGAACACTGGGGTGAGATCCTTCATATCCAGGGAAAAATTACTCTATGCCTAAAATATTGTTAAAATAGGATAAGAAACCCTTTCTTGGTTTGTTGACAGCAGTAATTGATAAATAGTGGGTGTTACTGATAGGAGGAAATAGCGACAGATCCGAGTGAGTACAGAGTTTGCCTTGTTGGAGGAGGTGGGTGCTCTGTGGCATCAACATATTGTGAATTACTCTTTGACAGCTGTGTGACACATGTTAAAAATCTCTTGTTTTCAGCGTAATTGTTTTTGGGGTCAGTGTTGCTTATTATTTGGGTCAAGAAATAGACACTTCTGCAGCAGTATCATTTTTTAAAATGTCTCGGATATGAAACTACAGAGAAACAGATTTGCTGTGCATTAGCAAATTATTGTATAGCAAAAGCTTGTGCTTGGCCCAGAGTTTAAATTAAAGTGAAAACTATTTTGACTTCTGGTTTGTATTTTGTGTTGTTTTGTTTTTTTTTTTAAAAAAGAAGGCATTTTTGTTGTGTCCAAAACTCTTCTACATTTAAGCTCATTTATAATTTAATAGTTATACAGTCATTGTGTGTATGTTGCTTTATTCTCTAGTGAAATCCATGTGGTTTTCTTCACACTGTTTTTGTAAAGATAATTTTTTTAATCCCATTTCATTCTGTTTGTTATGAATAAACTTTGTCTTGTGTGTTGTAAATTTCCATAAAATTCACTGATAGAGTGATTGTGGTTTTTATTACCTGGCCACCGTCAGCTCTGGGCTCAAACACAGAAGTTCCTTCCTTAGAGCAGTGAGATGATTGCCTACTCCCTGTCTTTAGAGACTCATGCAAGAATTGCATTTTTCTTAATGGTATTGTGTCAATTATTGGTGAAACAGAGCTATTTAATCTTTGTTGAGAAGAAATCATATACTTTCATTAGGAGAGGAATTACTAGATATGAAAAACTTCAAGGATGGTATTTTGGGAGCTCAATTTTTTAAAATCTAAACAAAAAGATTTAATGTGGCACTTTCCTGAGGCTAGTATCTAACTGCAGAGACAAAATTTATTTCTGAAGTTTTTCATTGAAGTAGTTCCTGTGTGACATGGAGACTCTGAACTTAGTGGATAATGCTGTTATTCCCAGAGATTTCTGACTGCTAGATTAGGAAGCATTTATTGATTTGTGATTTATTTCTTCTTCAGGCTGCCTATCACAGAGAGTAGTGAAACTGAATTGGCTGAAAAATACAGACAAGCGAAGGCCCAAGAGCTAGATGTAGCTGGAAATTATCGGCTTGACTATAAACGAGGTAACAAAATATGTATATATTGGTTCTTATATATTTATGTATATATACAGGTTCCTTTATGTATATATATGTATATATATATTGGTTCCTGTTATAAACTCAGATGTACCTGTCCTTTTCTTCTCTGTGGTCTTTCCTCCTCTCTCCTCCCAAAAACAAAACTATGAAATCTTACTCTGTGTTTCTTGTTTGTTTAATACTGTATGTGCATTTGTTTGTTTTGTAGAAAGCATGATATTAAAAAGTAAACACCTTATTTTCTGCAAACCACAATGTATAATGCTGTTGCACAGACATATGTACATCTCTCTAGTTTATTGTATTGATAAATGTAGATATATGATTGAAATATATCTGCAAAGAAAAGATACCACTCACTGGATTAATGTCTTTCTGTATTTTATTTTCCCATTTTCTATTTGTGTTATTTCTCTATATACTTGATTGTTGCTTTGAACTGCCTTCAGAGAGAAATTTGATTGCACTTCTTTCCTAGGAGCTCTGGTAAAAGCAGTATGAGGCTGACTCACTTGTCAGACCAGCTCAGCCTCAAGCTCTTACTGTGCCTCTTAATTTTAAAATTTGTTAATATAGCTCATTTCCCAAGAAAAGGACATTTATGTGTTTTGTCCGTTCTGCGTGTCATTCTCTGAAATACTTTTTGTATCCCTTTACTGATAATAGCAAAATTTGAAAAATTGAGACATTTTCTAGAAAATACTGTCCTTCAATACTTCTGAAAATTATATGGCCCCTGGAACTCGGGTAGTGAGTGGTGAAGCCATTTGTTTGGTCTGTCATCAGCTGCGAGGCAGAAGGTTCAGCTGGTTTGTCCAGTGCATCTGACCATCTATCCTAACCACAAAACACTGTCTCTTGTTCACTTGCTACTGCATAAAATTTGTGGGAGAGGAAGAGGAGGTATTGAAAGGTGAAAATGGGGGAATAAAGGGACTGGAAGAAGCTTCAGGTGATGTTGTTCAGGAATGTGGTGTTCCATAGTTTTTCATGTGCTTTACTAGTGAAGGAAGGACAGCAACAAGTTGACTAAGCTAAGTTCCTTAGATGTTTCTTTAGAAGTATAGTGGTATAGTTTAATTCAAGTAAATAACATAAATCATTTAATGTCCTTCAGCTATTAAATCAGAATTTGGCCTAAAGTAGACTAGCAACTTAATTTAACAGCACTGGTGGCCTGCTTAATTTTGAATGGAACTGATGCTAGCAATGTTCCTCCTGTGAAAGAAGCCGAGTTATAATTTAGGCTTTTTAGGAAATATTTCTGCGTGGTTATCTTGGTACTTTATTTTATAAATACTTACTTTCTCTTGGTCTGCCCTAAGATGTTTGTCCTTGAACTGTATACCTTCTAATATTTATTCTTGCCTTCCAGTTGTAACTTGCTTAAACAGCATCTAGTTAGCAAACAACCTTAAAAAATTACTAAAACATTAGCACATACACTCTCTTATTATTAATCTGTTAGATGTTTACCTCTGTTCCTTTTTTCCTCCCTCTTCCTACTCTTTGTGTCGTGGTCTGGAGTCTGAGTTGTTTCAGGAGTTGTTCCACGTGGTGTTGATGCCTTCCTCCTCTGGTCAGCGATCTGCTCCCAGCTGTATGCGATCTAGTGGGGGACTCTCAGCAGACTGGGTAGTGATGGGACTGGAAGATTCCTATGGCATTCTGAGACCAGGCTGCCAAATCCCACCTAGACATAGAATAACACATAAACTTCAGAAAATCCTGGTTCTTATTGCTCTCGGCTTTGACTTATAGACAAATTCAGGAGTGTTATGTTAGGACGATATAATAAAGAGGCTGAGTGAGTGAGCATGAGATTAGTAATGTTAATTTTATGGATTATAAATGTGATGTTTGCTTGTGCCTTGGTGTTTTGTGAAGTTCTGTTGAGTTTAAATTTTGTTCTCTCTAATTTCTTTGAAAGAGCATATGCTTTTATACAGAGAGGACAAACAGAAATGCCTAATCTGCTTCTCTGTCAGGAAAACAGATCATCAGGGAACTGCACTGAGAGTTCTGGCTTCTACAGAACACAGTAGAAATGATACTACTGTGAAAAGGAAGTAGGAATGATTAAATAAAAGCAGAAAAAAATACTTTGTCACAACTGCTAGCCAAAACAAGTAGAGCATAAGCAGTTCTTCCCGGGCCCATCGGGCTATTTTCCCAGTTGGTACTGGCTATTTCAGAGTCAGACTTACAAAACCTGTGATTCAGTGAGGTCACAGGATGTTGTGCAGGGGGAAACCTTCCCGAGCTCCACGTATGGGACACTTGCCTACTTTAAGCATCCTATGGAAAACAGATTTTATTTATTTATTTTTCCCCTCCAAATCTGGGTGTTCTAAACTGTACTGTATGCACTAAGAGCTTTACTCTTAAGAAAGCTTCTGAAATCCTTAATAATTTTAATTTTTTTTTTAAGGATTCCTACATAGTTATTTTCATGTAGCTTTGTGGATGGCAGCTTTTTTTCCTCTTCTGTCTTCATTTTTTCATACCATTAAATGAATCTCTTCTGGGGATCTTCTAGGCCTCAGGTGAAGTAACTGCTTACAAAGAATCACAGAAACAGCAATTTAAACGTTTCTGATTAGGTTTCTGACATTAAATACTTGTAAGTTACAGAATTTCTTAAATGTTTTGTATTCAGAACAGATGCATGCCAGAAAAATTAATCATAGCTCAGATCTTTACTCCAAAACCTTTTGTATTCAAAATATGTGCATGTTGAAGAGAATTGCAGTGGAGAACAGAAGTCTCATGAGCAAAGACTAATTACTTGTGATATTTTCTTAGGAATTTTAATGTTACCAGGGGCCATCCTTCAGCAGTCAGCACTTCAAGACACAGGAAACTGTTAGCCTGTTTTCCCCAGTCAGGAATGATAATCACTTTGCCCAGGCTCTGCATTGAGCTTTTCGGGTTTCTGTCAGCAGCAGCTTCACGTACTTTGTGTTCTGACTGAAGGAGCATCAGTTACTGTGAAGTCCTTGTGCCTTGTGGCTGAGTATAGAAGCCTGGTTGTTTCCTGTGGCTTTCCTTTCCCATGAGCTTGCTTGCTAATTGTAATCACTTTGTGTGTTTGTGGCTCAGCAGAACAATGATCAGTGATGTAGTAAGCATCTCATTTGACTCACCTAACCAGTACTTTCAAGTATATATATTTTTTAATGAATCTCATTTTAATTTGCTTAGGTGCAGATACTAAGATCCAGCTGTACAATCCCTTCTCCCAGAGCTGGTGAATACAAAAATCTAGTCTTGTGTTAAAGGATCTCTTCAAATTCAGTTCAGGAAGGTATCGGAAAACTGCTCTTTCCATGGGCAGTAGACTGTTTTAGTCAGGGTAATAAACGTATCTCTACAGAACTTTAATAATAATTGAAAAGGAAGTGAGCAGGCACATTCATCTTAGACATAACTGAGTTTTCAATTTCTTTTTGCACCAAGTCTGAACAAAGAAATTAATGTAATTATTTATTCTGGACTGGCATTAATGCTTCTTATAGACAGAAATATTTTGCTTGTCATAGCACAGTGTGGTGGGCAGTTTCATGCTTCCTCAATGTAGTATTTTCAGGTTGGAAGTGTCCTGTGTTCTCTAAATGTCCGAATCCAAGGTGCATGTTTGAGCATAAGAAGCATCTCAGAAGGGTGTGCACCAGTTGGATTTGTTGTCCCAGTTTTAATAATGTTTTCCAGAAAGTATAAGCAATTGAAAAAGTGAAACTTTGTGCCTTTCTTGCTGGTAGGTCTGTTGTCCTGTTGCTCATTGAATCTGTAGATGCTTCTGTATTTGCAGAAGTGATCTATTTTTCTGAAGACCAGTTCTCATTTTGGGGTTTATTACATAAATAGATGTAAAAAAAACCCAACCCCAAACAACAAGAGTTGAAGATAATTACACTGTGTGGTACAGAGTCTGCAGCTGAATGATTGTTTAAATGAGTAGAATAACCTTGGAACTTACATAGGGGTGTGTATTGAAGTATTTCTATTCTGCCATGAGTCTTCATTATTCAGAACACCTTACACTTTAAAAACAAACACACTAACAGAAGTTTAAGGTCTTCTAAGATAGTTACCCAAGTTCCCAGTCCCAGTTTTGTTTTTTCACTAATGATCATACTGGATTTCAGAAAAAGTTAGTATCCTCAGTTTGTTAGGGTGAACCTTTTCAAGGCTGCTTGGGGTGCATCAGTGTTTATCTGAAGTTGCCAGTTTACTCTGAGGCCCAAGACTGTGCTGACTGCTCTAGACAGAAGTCTCCCCAGGCAAACTCAGTAGTGTTGCTTTCAGTTTAAGCACAGAGTACATGTCTTAAAGAAAAAATAAACAAAAAAACAAACCATAAGTTTTTAGTACTTGAAGCATCCACTAAATGGTTATGTGGCTGCTGGTTCTCAAACTCTGCATATTGATGGTGGCCAACATTGGATGACCATTTACTTTAGGTATAATTTTTTTCAAAATTCTGTGCTTAGGAGAAGGTAAGATATTTGTCATAGAATTGTCATATAAAAAGCAATATATAAAAAAGTTACATTTATCAATGAAAAAAGTGATATATACACAATGATTAAATGATCTGATTATTCAGCAAGTATGTGAATGCTGGTGGTTTATTTGTTTCTGGTTCATTCCTTTGTATTTTTAAAATAAATTCTTAATTGAATTTTAGGTTAATGATTTCTTATTAATACATTGGCCTTTCACTGAGTTAGAGAAGCTTGGAATATGAATCTGACCATTTAAATTTTTTTGTCCCTCCCTTCTTTTTCATAAGGATTAGTATAGAATTGATGCTGTCTTCTGTTGTATAATTTTAAGACGTTTTTCAATATTGTGGTTGGTACATGGAAAGCCTCATAGAGGTGGGAAGGTTATGTTGCTTTAGCAGGAGTATGCTGACACGAGGATCTTTTCCTCAGCAGCTTGAGATTTCTTCCAGCATTGGTCAAATCATGTAGAGCTACTGATGTCTCAGTAGTGACATGTTTGTGCCAGAGGGAAGCCAGTCAGCCTTTGTACTGTGTTCCTGTGACAGAATGCTATATATTAATTTTCCTGGGGAATATATTTAGAAACTTGGCCAAAAATATTTTAAAGAGGACAGTTAATATTTTCAAGGGATGCTGCTGTTAAATTCTGTTTCCTATGTGTTCAGTAGTGCTAACTAAATCACTGTGCAATCATTGCCTGTAACTGTTGCATTACCCAAACTGAGGTAACGAACCTTTCTTGTTGGGGAATGTGGCTTGAGGAGAACTCTGGTTTTAGTGCTTTATGAAACTGTCTTAATGAACTGTCCAGCTTTTGGGAGTTTCTTTTAATGTGAGAATAAGTCATTTTGTATTCCTTGACACTTGAAGACTCTCTGGGGGTTGGAGCACATCCAGGTATGATACAGAGACAGAAGAAGTTGTTCTGCCTGTTTCTGCCTCACTGCTGTGTGAGACTGTTCGTAACCTTTCCAGAGAAAGGAAGCTATAACTGTGCAGTTGGGTATTTAGGCTATAGCCTTTATTTTACAGTAAATACTGCCTTTGTAAAAAGAATACTAGATTTCTTTCCCACTAGTGTATGTATTTTGAAGAGAAATAATATGACATTAAAAACTTGTACTTCCCTTCTTTTTATCTGTGTGCAAATAAGTAAATTTCGCCATAGTACTTGGTGAAACCCGTTTGAAATAGAAAGCATTTCCACTTTTGATTTCAGTATAATAGGGTTTTTTAGCCAAATTGTTTAATTGTAACTTGCAAAATTGTTGCTTACCAAAGTCTTGTCCTGGTTTTCCCTTCTACACCTGCCTCCACACCTGCTCAGTCACACTTTTGTTTTTCACAAACTGACACCAGGCTGCTGAGCAGAAACTCATGGTGGCACTCAAAAGATTTTTGTTCTGTATTACCCACTGATAATGGTGACTAACTCCTGCCAAGAGACTGCAGAATGTAGCATCATGATACCTACCAAACTTGTTTTAATTGCCAAGTGGTAGAAATGTAGTAGTCTTCCTGTCAAATTACAGGTTGTTTTGTACTGTGGATCCAGTAGGCTTTAAGGGAGACAACATTTGGGTACATAATGCATATTTTCTCAGTATCGTCAAAGTTCTTGGGAACAGGGGTAGATTTTGGCAGTTGTAATGCAAACTGTGCAAAAATATTGGGTTTGTAATTAGGAGAAAACCATCTAGAATTGCAAAATTGTATACATCCTTGACACTGATGGTGGCTTACACGCAGGAGCAATGTATTTCAGAGCTGCTGCCAGTAAAACAATAGTTGCATAAAGGGAGAAAATGTCTTCAATCTACTAATATTAAAAAGGTATTAATTCTATTAATGCTCATAAGTATGTGATTCAAATTTGGTAGCATTTAGGTTTCCAAATACTGGAAACTATCAATACTGTGATCATATTCTCCTGCTGGTCTTTCCCTTTCTCTGTTGAAATAACTTACTCTTGGTTATCTTTATGCCTAGATACTTCATTGTCTCGGCGTGAATCAAGTGATTGTACTTCTATACCAGTAACTAACTACAAATGTGTGGATATGCCTATAGCCAAACACAGAGAAGAGGTAATTCCATTATACTTTAATTATGGAATAAAACTGAAAATCATGTTTTGTTTTGTTGGGTTTTTTGTTTGCTTGGGAGTTGTTTGTTTGTTTGTTTGTTTCAGAATGAAACTTCTGTTCCTGTTTTAAGCACTGTACAAAACCATTGTATAAAAATTCTTAGAGGAAGAAGCATTGCTGTTTTACTTTATAGGTATTCATGTAAAATATGTGAGCAAGTACATGCCTATGTTCTTTTCTGTGATCTGATGTGTTTTAGGAGTCTACCTACAGATGCGTAGAAGATGATAGAATATACAGCACGATATTTTACAGATATTTGATATGTGACCTATTGATATTTCAAATCTGTTTGAAATCTGATTTGAGCTGTTATTATGTAGACTTATGAGTTTTCTTGAAAAATTGTTTCAGATAATGTCTGTTATAAAAAGCAATTCAGTTGTGATTGTACAAGGAGCAACAGGCAGTGGTAAGAGCACACAGATTCCACAATATATTTTGGATTATTGCATTCAGCACTCTATCTACTGCAACATTGCTGTTACCCAGCCTCGGAAAATTGGTGCCAGCAGCATTGCCAGGTGGATTAGCGCGGAACGATCGTGGACACTAGGTGGAGTTGTAGGATACCAGGTACAAGAAAATTTCAAATTGTATTTAAAAATACATTAAGAAGTACTGTATTTTCTTTCTTGATTACTTTTAAGCATATGTAGCATACTGAAGAAATGTTAGAGAATCTGCTTTTAAAGTGGAGTTACAGGTTTCTAACTGTCTCCTGTTAAACATTCATAATTAAATGTTTAAGCTTTTTAAAGTTGAACCACTATAAATGCTAGTGAGACTCCAAAAAAATATTTAATTGTCTGCATTCTGATAATTGGACATATCTCTATTATTGATCACTGAAATTCTTGCAGGAGAACTATATTCTGTCATTATTCCTTTAAACTCCTTAATTAATATACTTGATTTGTTTGACTTTACTACATTTACCTGTCAGCTATGTCAAAAGTTTTGTTCATTTATGGGCTGATTGTTTTGTGAATGTCCTGTTGTTTCTTCTTAACATGTGAAAAACTTGAACTAGATTTTCCCTGTTAAATCTACCTCCTCCTTTTGTTTTGTCCAACTCAGCTTCAGACTCAGTTCTGTCCCTCTGTTTCATCTTTCCACAGATACTGGTGCTTTAAGCAGCTCTTTCAGTAACCACAATAAACTCCTGTGATGATTGTTTCATGGGTAGTTTGACAATAGCTGGGTCTGGACTAGCTTCTCTGGGTCCTAAGGCTAGTCGTGGCTTCAAACTGGTGTAGGCGGTGGGAGGATGTTCATAGAGTTGTCTGTTTCTGAAGTCCTTTGCTTTGAAGAATACATGTTGGTTTCTTCTTCCTGTCTTCTTCAATCCTTTTCTGATTGTTTCTTCCTGTCTTTCTTCCACTAGGGTCATATGTATACATGTTTGCTAACATGCATTTACAGCTTTCTTCTTCATTCATCTGCAGCTCCAGGTTACCTCCAAATGTGCTATGTACAGTGTCATTTATGTGTGTTAGATGCTTTTTCTTTGTTACCCATAAAACCAGTTTTGTCCAGTTCCAGATCTGAGGGGTTTTTATTTTTAACTGACTATTACAGAGTTTTTATAGCATGGGTTCTACATTGCCAAGCTTCTGCCTCATCTGTCACCCCACATCTGCTTTCTTCTGTGACACATCCTGTGTCTCCATTTCCCAAGGTCTCTGCTAATGTACCAGACCTCTATATCTCTACACTAAATTGCTCTCACAACTAGACCAAGTAAAGCAAAGGTGAAGGCAGATCAAGAAAAGTTCAAAGAGAGCAGGCCTGACAACCTTAGTCCTGAGGCCTTGCAAACTCAGTGGCTTATGGGCTGTTACTGCTAATAGCAATACCATCCTACAGGGCTATGCAGATACAGATACATCAACTTCATTTTCCTGTCAAAAGGATCTTTACTGTCATCCCTACTGAATGCTGTTCTTTAAGTATCAAATCTTAGTGGTTTCTTTTGATGTATCTACAAAAAATACTGTAGTAGGATTTTTTTTTTTTTTTAAACACAACTCTGAAGTTTAATTTTTCCCTGGGTAAATTGGAAGAGAAAGTAACAATAATCTTTATGCTCTATCTCTAAGTTTCAGTTCTGAGAGGTGAACACTCCAGACAATTCTGCAAAATATATTATCTCAGGTTTTAACTGAGCCAATATTAATAACCTCCAGTTATTATTTTATAGAAATACTGTGGGTTATGTATGTTGGGTTTTTTCAAAATAGTTTCTCCATAAAGTCTTTTATATGATTTGATACCTTGAATTAATTAGTAATAAAATTGCTAAATTGATTCATTAGGCAAATGAGTCGTAAAGACATAAAACGGAGGTGTGCTTCCAAACTCTCTTTTGGGACAGTGTATGTTGATGTGCCGTGCTTGTTCTACAAGCACTTGTGTGAGCTGAGCAAAAATGGAAGTAGAACAGTTGAGAGTAGACTGGTCAGCTCTAGGCTGTTGTAAAAGCTAAAAGTGAAAAGATGGTCATGGGTCTGCCTGCCTGGCTGGGTAGCACCTGAGATAGCTAAAGGTACAGAAGTATTCTAGAAATCAAAACTCGACTAACATAGGGTTGTAGAATTTGTCTCTCAGGAATAAGTTGCCTGGTCTTGATGATATCTTGTACCTCTTTCCTTTTCTCCTATCTAGTAAGCAAACTATATTTTGGCAAAATCTTATTCTTGCTCTCTATGTGAGTGGCAAGATCCATGTATGTACCTTTAAAAGCCTTTGAAGAATTCTTCTCAGGCTAGAGCCCCCAGCAAGGAATTTTGCTTCTTTATGTTATAGACTTCAGGGTTTGGGTTTTGTTTTTTTTTTTAATTTCTCCCAGATAAAATGTTTGTGGTTAACTGGTTATGAGCTTTAAGAACATATTTGTACAGAGGCTTTTACAAGTTTGAGTGAATAATTTTGATGGATTTATGCTGTATTTAATTTTGGAGTTCTTTCAGATGCAAGTTCCTGTAGATACGTTAAATATCTATTCCCATCTATATTATTTTTCTCACCGTGTTAGGTAAGCTTAGAGAAGATTTCCACAAAGGAGACAAGGTTGCTGTACATGACAACTGGAGTTCTTCTTCAGAAAGTAGTTTGTGCCAAAAGCCTAAATGAATTCACGCACATTTTCATTGATGAAGTAAGTTGGTATTTCATATTAAGAAAACCTTCTTCTCTTTTGTCTCTCTTCCCATGGTAGAGAAAGAAAAGTGCAGACATCTATTTGTAAAGATACTTTATATAAGTGATGTAGGCTAATGCTGCTTGAAATAGGCTTGTCTCAGCGATCCTTTGAACAACGAAGTTTAGAACTGAGGGTGTGGGGAGGATTTTGAGGATTGCTTAGCTTTTGATACGAGTGCCTTGAAGTGTTTTCTGAAATCCACTGTGTGCATTTCAAGAACGTATCTGACTAGGCCTATTAGGAGGTGGCACTTACACTTGGCTATTACTGTCCTTAGAAAGAGTCTTTGCTCTTCAGGGATGTCCTGAAAAATAAAATAGCCCTCTGAAAGTTTTCTGTCTTCTGTCCGGGCTTACAGTCCACTCATGTGGGTTCATTATTATTGCTGTCACTTCACTAAAAATCTAAAGAAACTATACTTGTAAGGTTTTTTGTAATTTGTATGTTTTTACATTTTTATGCTCATTTTCTGTGATGGGCAGTATATGACTGTTAAACATAGCAAAATATGAAATTGTGGTTTTTTGTGTAAATCACATGTAAGATGTAGGACTTAAATCCTGGGATGTGGTGACACAGAAGAGGACTTACAATTCTTTTTTTTTTTTTTTTTTTTAAGTTTTATACTGGTTTTTCATTTTTATTCTGTTACAGTATTGTAGCTGAGAGTAACTTTGATTCTTGGGTATTTGAGGAGCAGGGAGACAGTATTTGATGTACCATTAGACTATTACAATAATAATGAATGAAGGCTGTCATGGCTGCACTTGAAATGGCACATGGAAAACCTGGCAAGGATTAAGCAAATAGTTACACTTCTGTATGAAGAAATTTTAGGACTTCATTCAAACAGACAAAAGAACAAAGAAACCCCAAAACAATAGAAGATGCATATGTAGAGAAGTGTTAGACTGTTCCTTTAGTTTTAAAAATTATTAATTAGATACAAAAATTAATCAGTGAAATTTTCTGACCCCTTGTGCAGGAGAACAGACTTATGCAGAGATTTTTCAAACCTTGTTTGTTTGGGTGCTGTAGTTTGAACTGATGGTACCAGCTTGTACCATTTCCTTCAGCAGCTCCTAGCTTTCAAGACTATGTGTTTTTTGCTTCCCCAGATGAAATCCTAGTCCCTCCTGTTCCCCATATGCCACTTTTTTCCTCACATCTACCTCACAGATTGTGATCTTGATGCAAATAATAACCATTTTAACAACTGTGTGTTCTCCACTGCATCCTTAATTGCAGGTCATCATGACTTCTCACAGCAAGACCTTGCTGTCAGCCTGAAAACAGCATTAGCTAAATCGTTTTCATAGTGGGGCAGTACTGAATATAAGTATGTCTTTATATTATGTTAGAATATGCTAATTACCTTACAAGGGATGAATGTTGAACTTTGAAGGTTGAACTCTGGAAAAAGCTGCTGCACTCAATATATTTAAACTGTAATTCAAGAAGGGGATATGATCATCATTGGTAGTGTTGAGAAGTATTATTGAACTGCAGTGAGCAGTCAGAAAAGTCAGATGCCAGGATATATAAAGAATTTGGTAGAAAATAGTGTTTTAGAAAGCAGTTTTGTATTTTGATCATAGCTAGAAGCTATTGGGAACAAGTGACACCTATTCAATTTGCTTAGCTTTTAGATAAGCCAACATAGTCCCTGCCTGGATTATTTGTCATTGTACCAGTACAATTGACTTACACGACTTCAGTGTCACTTCAGCTGTTGTTGTCAGCTCTAGTAGAACTGGTGGCTAGAGCTCACAACTGGTTTTCTAGTAATTATTCTACAATTTTCATGACTTAATAGTGGCATATAATTTTCACAAAAGGTGCTCTAGTTATCTGAACAGCTGTGTTGAGATTTTAACATGCATAGTCTTAAAAGATGTGTGTTCTTCTATGAAAATGTATTGTTGTTCCAAGTTACAAAAACAAAACATGAAATTGAGTAGTGAAGGAAGAGATTGTCAAAAAGAAGAGCATGAATTAATGAAAATTAAAATGTGGGTAATATCTTCCAGGTCCATGAGCGTACAGTAGAAATGGATTTCTTGCTTTTGGTGATCCGTAAACTGTTGTGTACAAACTCACAGTCTGTCAAGGTAGGTACAAAGTATATTCTACTTTTTCTTGCACTAATAAATTTATACATGTTTTTGATCTATGGTAAGTTTTAAAGAACTTACCATAAATGTGTCATTATATTTTACTAAAGTATTATTTAGATTGCCTCTCTTCATAAGCAAGCATGCTAAAGGGCATTCTTTTCCTGGCTGCTGTAATGTGTTCTGAGAGACTTTTTTTTCCTCATGTTAAAATGCATTAGTTTCTAAAGTGTGCTTAAGGCTAAAAAATGCAGGATGGATATTTGACTAGAGTTACGTATTCGTTATTGAGGGCAGTGCTTATCCTTGGTTAAATATGGTAGTGTTAACTCTTGGAAGTACTGAGCTTTTTTAAAATGGGACAGCATATTTGGAAAAATAGCAAAAAACCAGAAATGCTGTATTGTAATTTCCAGGCAGAATTGGTAGTAAAACATGGCTCAGATTTTTCTCTGCATGTTAGGAAATTGTGCTTTGTACTAAAGCAAAGTTTGCAGAGATTTATCATGACATATTTAGTGTTTGTGGTCTCAAAGTAGTGAACTCTTGAATTGTCAGGCCAAACAGTGCAATTTCCAGTAGTGACTAGTAAGAGCTACTTGGGTAGGAATGTAAGAACACCATAAAGACAGTCTTATTTCCAGGTTCTAGCAAATTGCCATTCAGGGACATCTGAAGTGAGAAGTTGTTACTGTGCATATTTTTGGTATAATTTAGTGGGGCTCCAGATATATCCATGCTGCATGAGTGTTTTTAGACCACTCGATCTTGAAGAAATATCTGCTTTGATTACCCTCTATTCCAGTGTGTTCCTCTGCCATGTTGGCGATACATCCTTGTTGAATTTCTGCTTTGGGAGTTGATCAAACTCTTGGTTTAGTAACGTGATCCTGCAGACGCTCTATTAGGAACCTCTGGTGCTAACGCTTGGCTACCAGACAATCGTTTGTTCTCTTTCCCCCACTCCCAGGGGATAGGGGAGAGAATTGGGGGGCCAGGGTATGGAGACTTGTAGGTTGAAATAAGAACAATTTAATAATTGAAATAAAAGAAATAAAAGAAAACTTAAAATAATACTAATATTAAAATAATAATAATAGTAATAAAATATGCAAATGAGTGATACTCAGTGCAATTTCTCACTTCGACAATCCCGAACTGAAACCACAGTCCCAGAAGAGCGAGAGCCCGAACGAAAGTCAGGGAGAGCCAAAAGAGGAAGAGACCCTCACTAATATAGTGGACATGACGTGATATAATATGGAATATCCCATTGGCATATCTAAATGCCAATTTAGCTTATTAATTTAAATATTCCTTGCCCTGCCCCAGATCTTGCACTTGTAGACTAACAGAACACAAAGTCCTTCACTTCCAGCGACAAAAATGCAGACGCTGGTGTGTTATCAGTGTTTCTCTCATAATAAATCCCAGGTTGAAAGCAAAACACAGCACTATTCTAGCTACTAAAATGAAACCCAGCTCTGCCTCAGCTAAGAACCAGGACAGAATTTATGGTATTCCTTCCAGTTGGGAAGGACTCCATGCAGATTACAGTGCAAATTACCAAGCTTGTCTAGAAGAAGAAGTAATTTAATATTCCTTGCCTGTAACTGTGGTTAGGATAATTTAGATTGGACTTTGTTTCAGTAGCCTTCAGGCAAGGTTGCATCTAGCCTATTTTCCTAGCATAGGAGAGCCACTATCTATTGAGCCATGAGACAGTTCATACTGTAGTGGGACAAGTTGCATATAGTATTTGCAGAATTATATCTTTTTAGGTTTCTCCTCCTTTCAGGATCATGTTAAAGGACTTAATGATTTAGCCCGCCCTCTCCATGTATTCCTTGTGCATTTACAGGTGCTCTGGAGCTGAGCACGGTAGTACGATGCGCCCTTCATTAGTTTGCCTGCCTGTCACTTCATAAGGGGAATGCTCTTGTATTTCACTGCATTTTTGTTTTGGGTGTTGATGTCTTTATTTCATTCTATTTTTGAATTCATGCAAGGTGTCAGGGAAGCAAAAGAGGGGTGACTGTGTCCCAGTTTGCAAGTACTGCTTGGAGTGGCCCAGGAGACTGAAGATAAAGAAGCTGAACACAGTTCATTGTAACTCCTTGGCTCTTCATCTCTTTTCAGGTTGAAGCTGTCTAGTTTATTCCAGCTGGCTGTGCTGAGCAGTGGGAGCACATTCCACATAGAGGGGTTAGAGGGTAAATAGCCATAGGCAAATTCTGAATTTCATAATAGTTGAAAGAAGGGGTGTCATCAGAATTATTGGAGATACCAGCATAACATGGCATGGCATTTTACGGTAAAATAATGTTTTACATGTGCTGTGCAATTTTTTAACAGGTAATATTGATGTCTGCTTCCATCAACTGTAAAGAATTTGCTGATTACTTTGCATTTCCAGTTCATAACAGTCTGCATCCAGCCTATGTATTTAAAGTGGAAGGCAAACCTCATGCCATCGAAGAATATTATCTTGATGATTTGAAGCACACTGTTCCTTTCAAGGTATTGCGAATGTAACTATTTCTTTGGACATAGTAAGAAAGAAATTGGAATAGTCAACTGAAAGCTGTGTAATAAAACTAGAAATAACCAATTTTACATTACAGTTCTAGATAAGAATTAATAAATGATGATAAAACAGGAGTCTCCTTAACAGCAACCTAGTTTTTCTTTCGTGTAACAGAAATGGAATGTAAAGGGCTGAAAATTTTAAGTAGTATGTGGCATTTTGTTTGGTAATTTGTATCCAGTGTGAACAATGTAAAAGTCTGTGCAGAAAGTAACATCTGAGGATTTATAGATCTCTGTGAATACAGCTGACAAACTCGGGGAATATTTCCTGGGCTGGTTCATGTTGCTGTTGTGTATCAAAGGTGGAAGGAGCTAGAAAATAGTGTCATCAGAAAAGAAGCATTTATGATTAAAAGTTTGATGTTATCGAGTTGGCTTTTCTGTCAGCTGATGCTCACGTGCTTCCTATTTTTCCTCCCTTTTTTTTTTTTAATAGTCTCAGAGCTGTTGTGTAGTAGTTTAGAACATATTTCTGTTGTAGCCATGTAGGCCACTGTGGCAAATACCTAATTTTGAGTAATGAAAATATGTTAGAATAATAGGTATTCACCAAACCCTTGGTGGCCACTTAGCAGCCTGTATGGCTACGCTGGAGAATTGCTGCAGTGATGCCTGAGGAGGGTGGTAACGACTGAAGATTAATTTGCTGTGTCAATGTTTAGTTTATAAACTGCACAGTATATTTGTTTGTAGAGCTCCTGGATGCTATTGCATAGCACATATCTGCATAGACAACAGATAATGAAGCCATGAATGTAAGTTTTAATTAAGCTGGTATCTGTGGTTTTATAATAGGAGTTTGTTTTACAGTTGAAAAACAGCTGTGTAGGAATTCACATGAGTGTTTGAATTCTTTTAGTATTATGGTCCGAGGCAAAATAAATAGGTTAAAGGAAAGTAGAGCAAATACACTTAGGTTTTAATAGTGACAACCACTCTAAAATAACTGGGGCATGAGAGTAATTATTAGTCAGTTTTGCTAATTGAGACTACTGTTATAATGTTAATACAATGGAGAGAACAGAGGATGCAGTTAAAAAGTAGCAGTTTGTGAACATTCTATTATTATTTAACTTTCATCCCTCAATTCTGCAGAAACTAAATTGGAGAAATAAAATAAAAAGGTAGTTTATGGGAAACCCAGAAGAAAATATTTGCTTATGCTGTACACAGCTCAGGCATTGGTTATGCCTCAAAACAGGCAAGCTAAAATAAAAAGCTGTCAACTGTTGAAGTTTAATGTGGCCAAAAAAATAAACTAAATGCTTATAGCAGTTGGCCCATCAGTTTTACACATTAGTATGGCAGCTCAGATAGATAGTATGAAGAAGATTATGTAATACATTATTATTGTAAAAGATTTTTGATGCTAGATGACAACAAAAATGTAACCAGGAAATTAAGTAAGTTTACTTCAGTCAAGTTGCATTTGTCATAGCTGCACTTTGAACTGAATGTCAGCTGCCACACTTTTCATCTCAAAGATCACGGACAAAAGGAACTGCTTTCAGTGCTTATGCTTTTCTATATTTTTTTAATTTTCTCTGTGTATATGAGCATTTAGCTTTGATTTCTTTTTTTCAAGTTTTTGTCTGTTTCTTTATGTTGTGTTGTCCTTGCTTTTTTTCAGCAGGAGGAGAGGAGTATGATTGTCCCAGAAGTTATCTGTACCTTAGGGCAACAACAGAAGCACATAAGTGCTCTTGATGTTCTTCTCTTTTTTTTTTTTTTTTTTTAATGTGTATGAAAAAATAAGAAGAAATTGAATTAGAAAGCTCTTTTCTTATGGTGCTGTGTGTGGAGACTGAATAGTAGTTTTATTTTAAAAATACTTAAAAACATGGAAAGTCTAAGTTGGAGATTTATGTAACATCCTAGTAAAAATTAAAGCAGAGCCTGAATGTTAAGGCAATAAATGAGTTAACACTGCCAGATGGAAGCCAGGACACATCTTTCATTGTGCTAAAATCAGAATTGGTTAGATAATCGCCTGAGGTACAGGCTTCAGGCTTTAGTTCTTAGTATTTTATTTTTGCCTATAAAAGCCTATAAAATTCACATTAAAGAATACACAAGTTAAAAGCAAAAACAATCTTTGCTTTTTAGATAAACAGAATTTTTCCTTTCCATTTCAAAATTAATAACTATAAAATCAGATTGCATAAATCATAACTCATTCCTTAAAGCATCTTGATTGAAATCAGTTTGGTCCTTTCTAACTGTCTTGTTTGCTGTGAGGTATGAACCTTTCTCCCTTTTCAAAAAATCTTAAAATAATTGGATGTTACTGTATAAATGTAGACTTCTTTTATGAATACTGCAGAGCTCTTGGCTTTAGTATGTCACTCATTTCTGTAGGTGATAATGTTTTAAAACTATGCTCGAAAATAAAAATTGTCTTTGAGCAGTTCTGACTTGGATAATTTGGGAATTCACTCATATCAGTTGTGATTTGGAAGATAAATAGAAATGCCAGTCATTATTTTTTCTTCTGTATTCCTGTTTGCAGTAAACACCTTGCTGTGGCTAGATAGACATCTAGCTGAATCAAAGATAAAGGTTTCCACTTGAATGGCTTCATTTGTAGGAAAGAATAAAAATAAGGGGGAAGGAAGGGAGAAACACTCTTCAGTGCAGCACTGATGTACCCTTGGCAAAATATTGGGTTGTTTATAGGTGCTACTGTTTAATTTTTGAGTGTAGATTTATAAAAAGTAGTTTCTTTTTCTTTTGCCATAGTGGCCTTTGTAAGCACGTTATTCTGGATATTTAACTGGATCATTATTTTGTCATGTCATCACCCTCTCAGCCCCAAGGAATCAGTGGAAGACAGATTCTGATGAAAAATGTGTCTGATGAAGGCTGTATCTGTAGGCAGATTTAAAGCTAGTTGTGTAAATGCTTACCTGTCACTGTAGTATAGTATTGGGGATATCAAATGCAGATGAATTGTATCGTTAATTCTGTAGGCAGATTTTAAAAATGTAAGTAACTAGAGTGTCTAGATACTACTCTTTGTCAGTAAATCTGTGAAATCCCATGCCTCTACTTCTTACCTACGGCAAAAAATAGCGTCCCATTTTTGGCTTGTGAATGTAAAAACTCCTCCATATCCCTGGAACTCAAGTCAGAGTCCAGATGAAAGGTAGAGAACTGCTGTCAAAAGCTATTCAAATTATGTTGTATTATTTCAGTCAGCTCTGACGGGGCTTTTGGATTTGCTGCTTGTCATATCATTACCTTTTATTAGGAGTGATGTGGCAGCCTTGTCATGTTAAAGAATACTAAAGGTATAATCAGTAACAAAATTGAAAAGCCAAATTTCACAGTTACTTAAGCAGGGATAATCAAAAAACAAAAATCTTCTGTTTGAGCAGCCCAGAAAAGATAAATTCCTTAGATGATCACATATATTGTGGAAAAAAAAGTACTAGTTCTCAAGACTGCTGGAATGTTGTCTGTGGTTTCTCATTAACTAATCGAGCTTCATTGGAAAAACATTTCTACAGTGGGTTTAAAATGCACTTAAGCTCTGGGACTGAGTTGTACACCTGAAAAGTCTACCTGGCTAGTTGATACAAGGGGGTTGGAGAAGTGGAAAGAGTACCGTCAGGTTCTTACAGATGGCTTTTTTTGATCCTCAATCCTTTACCAGAAGAAAGTAGAATGATTTTCTCAGGGTTTTCAGAAAGGAGTCTTTTCTGCAGACACCAAGGCAACCTGGGGTTGACATGATGTAGCGTTAGAGGTTGGGTATTCTGGTAAGGGTTGGAGAGGTGAGGAATGAGGTTGCAGTGGGAAAAGCTGATCTGAATCAGTGTTGCCAAATTGCTTCTAGCAGCAGTGCTTTTGTAAATTTGTCATGAACTCCTTTCAGAAGGGGAAACTGGTAGAGAAATAACTAACTTAATTTTAGTAGTTTAAGTACTTCTGGTTTTTGCAGTTTTAGCTTTCTGAAACATCTCTACTAGGTCAAGTGTGTACAGTTACAGGCAAGATTTTGGATTGGGTTAAGACCTTGAACTTGTATATGCAGTCCCAGTGCTGGAGCTGGGCAAGAGGCAAATGAAGGGATGCTTCTTCTTCCTCTGCCTTTCCTCCCAAGAACACCATGAGACACTGACAGGTTAGAGCCAAAGAGACAAAACTGTTGGGTTTGGTTTCTTTTGTTTAGTTTGTGGTTTGGGTTTTATTTTTTTAGGTTTTGTAGATTTTAAAAAAGCTCTTCTCACATTCTTATTTACTTTTGGCTGCATTGATAGGTAGCAGTAATACCTCTTACCGGCTTTCATTTTGCTTTGTTAAATAAGTTAAGTCTTTAGTATTCTTGTTTTACAAGAAAGTCTCTTCATTTTTCTGGTCATTGAAGTGGTCATAATTAGCTCCTGTTCAAGTTTTGACTGATCACCTTAAAACCTGGTAAGAATTCCAGATGTATTGTCAGTCCCCATCAGTTTCCCCAGCACCACAAACTGGGTACCTGTTGGCTTCAAGAGTTCTTTCACTTCAAAGGCTGCCAGGTATGCTGGCTGAAAACTTTGACAAGACTTGAGTCACTTCGAAGTGAGGGGCAGTTCTGTCCAGTGTCACTAACACATTGCAGCCTGAGAATGACCATAGTTCTTTGACAGGGTATGACCTAAAACACAAGAGCTATTAAATGCAAAGACAATTTAAATGAGAAGGAGGTATATGATTTATTTGGCAATCACGTAGAGACTTGTGTTACAGCACCTGTGAGAAGGATTGTGCCTGCCTGGTACAAATTCCTCGCCTTCTTGTCATCCTGTTCCCAGGGTTGTGGTTAGTTTTACATGCTTAACACTTCTAGATAAGGAGTATGTCCTGCAAATGTTAGGGAATGGAGTGTGGGCTAGTGCTTAGCTTAAGCAGGTAAATAAGTACGTGCATTCTAATACTATTAGCATTAGAATGGTAGGATGCTTGGAGGAAAATGTCTGTTTAGAAGGTAATGACTGCTCCAGATTAAGTTACTTCTTTGTACAGCTTCTGTGCTGGATCAGTGTTAATGGGAAAGTGCTTGAGAAATTGACACAGTACATGGTTTCCAGTCTTTTAGCCTGTTACACTGTGCTAACCTCAATACTTTCTTCTCCACACAGCTTCCTCCTCAAACAATTGAGGAACCTGTCATAGAAAGGGAAATGTATGAAGTAGCAGTGTCTTTGATTCAGTCATTTGATGAGCTGGAGATGAAGAGCAATGGGTAAGATACAGTTCAAGACATAGAATCAGTGGTTCTTTGGGGAGATGAGATGCTAATTAAGGAACAGCAGCAGCCCATGTATTAGAGTTCTTAGTGGTAGCTTAATTTTCTGTTCATCCTTGCTTTTATTTTATATATTGGTGTGATTTCTACTCAGGGTAGTCATGCTAAGACTACTTGTAGGTCTTACTGAATGTGTTCTTGAAATACATTTCATGCCCTGGAGTGTAAGTGACCATTCAAGCCAGCCATGTCATATGGGAACTAGATTCTTTGCTGCAGACCAGAGCTGAATATTATTTATATGAAGAATAAATCTAGAACTACTATTTTGTATGGTAAACTAAAACACACATTAAGCCAAGAAAAGAGTGCAAACTAGGCATATTTTCACAGTTTAACTTATGCCTTACTGTCTTTTGGAATAAGTAAATATTAATTTATGTTACTCTCTAGTGTTTTGCAAATTGATGCTTAGTCTCTGAAAATGTAGTAAAGTTGCTTCTACTACTTTGTTGTAACACTGAGTGTATATTTAGTTTAGGAATGGTTTCTGTTCCCATATATTCTAATCACTTATAAACGTTTACTGAAGAAATAATTTTATTTTGTAAGCTTAATTTTTTTTTTCAAACTTATTATTATGTAAACTTTGAAATTTAAAGAAAGCATTGTTTAAGCTCAGCTGAGCAGTTATCAGGTGACCACTGAAGTACAAGTGTCGATGGAGGTACATAAATACAAAAAATTTGTCACTAAGGTTTTTTACAGTATATAGTTACTTCTGAGATTTTTTTCGTGATTGTTTCTTTTGATCTTTTCAATTAAGCTGTTTTACTGTAGTTTAGAATAACCAAATTAAACTACCTTTTACCATTAAGCTACCTTTTATAAGCAAGCATGAAGGCATTAGCATTTCAGCTTTCAAATATCAAAAGGGCTACTATGAACATCCATTGTTATGTGCCTTCCATTAAAAACTCTGCTTTCTGATCATCATATAGTTTCAGAGTAGAGACTTTCAAGATGCCTGGAAAAAATATACATCGGAAAAAGAGTTCTATATTATGTTAAGGTGATTTTAGCTTCTTGACTTGTAACAGATAAATCGAAGATGTCTCCATCTAAGTTTATGTTGTGACCTTTAGTTCTTGATAGTGGTTAGCTTTTTTAAATGCGAGGCTTTTGTTAAAGATGTCTAGTGATATTTTTAGAATACAAGAGTATTATATATACTTGAAAAATGACCGAATAAGTTCACATAGAATTCTGCAGTAGTATACTACGTTTTCATTTAAGATCTTTGGTTATCTGATTGTGATTATTTGCTGAATAAGAATGTTTCTATTTTGACATGATTTTGGAGACAAAACTAGACGTAATGATCTACTTCCAATGTTTGTATACCATGTTTTTCAGAAAGCATAGTTGTGAATAGTGTCTTTAATTCCATTTCTTCGGGAAGTTTAGATAATACAGGGTACAAAAAGTGAGCAGTTCTGCTTGTTATATAAATAAAGTAAACTGAAGTTGTAAAATTAATGAAACTGCATGTTCCTGCTAGGGAAAGTTAAAAATACTGAGTGTTACATCAGAGCGTGGAAGTGTGCTAGTATTTTTACCAGGTGAGTATACATTTTAATAACTTCCTTTTTCCTTATTTGTCATCTAACAAGCTTTCTTCTGGCACTTTTTCCAGGGATTTATTAAACACATATTTAACTTTATTTAATTGGTCTGTTTGGGTATTTTTCTTGCAGACTTTTTCAAATATGTCAATAGTTGGAAGAACTATGAGTCAAAAATTAAGATTTTGTATGTTTTAAAAATGAAGGTACAATAATAAAATTAATTCTACAGTTAATCCACAGAAATTCAGTTATCTGCATATAGTATAGTCTTTTAATTCTTGTTGTAAAAGAATCTTGTTTTTTTTCTTTCCGTGTACATTTGTTGAGGTAGTAGGAATGTTCAAAAGCACACATGATGACGTAGCAATTAATGATCAGAGAACTGGTTGCATATAGTTTAAGTTGTGTTTAAACAGTAAACCTAAGTTATCTTACGCTGCCTCTAAAATCTAGCTAAGAGCTTCAAGTAAGAATGACAGCCAAAACAAAAGCATACAATAGTTTTTGTGTGACTAGGCTGCAGACTTTTAAGTTTCCTGAACATCACAAACCTGGTGATTTCAAGTGTTCTTTTACTTCACAGATGTTACTAGTTGAAAACTTTGAAAAGACTTGGCTATATTCTAGTGGAGAGTCGGTCACCTCAGAGTCAGGAACCGCTGTTTTCTTGGGCACAGTGAGGTCTGTCCCTACCAGGACTTTCCAACTCTGTAAAATCATTATGAATGCCATTTCCCTGCTGTGTTGAGTTTAGCAGTAGACATGCTAGCCCTAGGAAACACCACACACCAGCACAAAAATATACTGCATTTGCAGAGTAGCTTTGAGTGAAGGGTGCTCCCTGCCAGCTAAAAGGCACTAGAGATGCCTTTCTTGGAGTTACTCTCTCTATAAAATCAGTGGGTAGAAGGAATTACTTCATTGTGTTGATGTAGAAGTACCCATTTCAGTTTGCCATGTAATAAAGGAGGGAGACCATCTTTGTTGCCTCTCGTATTAGTGTTTGTCTGGTGTGCTTTCAGACTTCCTCCGGCCCTTTTGAGTCTTAATTTGAGGCTGAAATTACTCTTTAGCACTTTCAGTTCCCAACTCTTTTTTGTCTTTCACTTTGAGGTGTTTTTTTACTGTGCTGCTATCCCTGATGGCTTATAACTGTAACTGATAAAATGAAACTTCTTGTTTGAATACATTTGGTAAATTCAGGAAAACCTTTGTAGATAGTGCTTTCTGAATGAGCTGGTACTAAGGTTTGAATTTTATTGTTGTTGTTCAGTGTTTGACCTTGTCCTGTTTTATAACTGGATACTCAAGAGTGATCTTGAACACAGGATTATCAAATACCTCTTGAAATTTTCTTCACAAATAGTCTTTATACAGAACTGGAGAAAAAGGGAGGAGAGCCCTCAGTTTACAAGGGTGCAGCTGAGACAGAGATTTGGGTAAAAATAACCTCCACATTTAGGACACTGATTTGAGGTGCCTGGATTTTTTGAGTGCTTACAATTACATAGCAATTTGTACATTCCAAATAACACTCCCATTGACATTTCAAGCTGAGCAGGCAGCAGCAGCCAGAAAGAGCAGTGCCCTCCTGAGGAGTACTGTTAAGTGATTTTTGCACCCTGTCTTTGTGGAACTCGGTGATGGGACAGAAGCTGCTTCCATGGAGCAGCTGCAGCTGTCTGAAGTAGGATGACATGTTTTCCCTTCCTGTTGTAATTGCCTCTCTTGTTCAGTGCTTAATTTTTTCTTCTTTTGGTTACTGAGTCTGATTCTTTACAGATAAATAACCTTCAGTACTCAGCTGTCCTTGGATTCCAGAGCTAGTCTGACCCTAGATACTAGGTGATACAAAGTGCCATGTTAAAATGTACAGTGGGTTTTTTAACATACATGCATAGATGTTCCCCGTGGGCTTCATTAAGGTTGCACATCCAGTCTTAATTCTGTCTTTTTTTCATTTTGAGTGCTTGACATGGCAACTTTCTTGAGCATATGCATTGGTTTATAGTTCTGTAGATTTTTTTCAAAGAACAAATTGGAAAAAGAGGTCAGACTGTGTGGATTGAATCATCACTGAGCTACATCTTCAAATATATAACGTGCTTCTGCCAGACTAGCTGAAGGGCTAAATGAAAGCAACAGTAGGTTGTCATCCTCTTCAGGAGCTTGCAGATGATGAGGTGGCCTGATTTCTCTGTGCTTCACATGCACTTGCTGATGGCAGGAATTGCATGGCTTAAAGCTTTAGGGTTTTCTTTTGGAGGGATCTGCTGTTACTGTCCTAAGCTTTTATCTGTTCTGCTCCTGTCAGTCTCTTTGTTTTGTATTTTCTTTTGCACTTCTCCATGCTCCACTCTCCTTACTCTCCTAGGGTGTTTGCCAAACAGATTTTGTTACTAATTTCTTTTTCATTCCAAGATCTTTGTCTTAGTGGCAGCCTTTTGTTCTGTAGGCATCATGATCAACTCTTGTCACTTCCACAGCTGAGCAGCAGATACTGCCTGCTATGTCTAGTCAGTAATTATTAGACTGATTAATAATTACTATTAATATTGGTTATGCAAAGTCTGCTTCCACCAGTCATGGATCAAGCTTCTTTTAATTGTTTTTAAGCATAAATTGGATTCATGTCTTTATGTCTTACTCAGATACTTAACTAGGCAATATGGAAGTAAGAAGCATTAGACAGCGAGATGGTCGAGCAGTACCTAGTGGGATCGAGTAGGTCTGGCAGGCTGTGTCCAAACAGACCATATCATGGTGTTCTTGTGTTTTCTCTGTATCTTTAAATGAGCACGTGCATTTTTTTCTATATTATAATAATCCTAAAAAGTTCTACTGCTTTTATATTTTCCAGGTTGCATTTTTTTTTCTCTAGAGTGCTGAAGGTGTTTTGCTTAAAGCTTTGTTAATTGCTTCATTATTGAGCTAGTCATTAGTTTGTTGTTTGGCCAGTTACTTGCATTCTCAAGTACTCTGAATTCATTTGAGCTATGTTATAAGTTAGGCTTCCTGGCTGTCTTTTCTAGGTTCTGATGACATTGCTTTCCCCTGTAGTAGCCTGACACAAAGCGTGTCTCTTAAACTTTAAAATTTCCCTCTGATTGCCCCACCAACACCTTTTTTTTTTTTCCCTGCTGCAACTCACCTGTTCTTCCCGCAACCCTGACTTCTTTTATCTGCCTTACCTATAGTTACTTCCCCTCATTTCCAAGTTTCAGTCTTTCTGACTCCAGTAGTTGACTGATCTCCATATTCTCCTGCAATTTCTTTTCCCAGCCAACCTTGTGTTATCACGATGTTGGTTTCCTGTTGAATCTGTTTCTCCTTTTCTTGCCCCAGTTTCTTGCTTTCTGGCCATTTTCTTTGCTTACCTTAATTCTACCATAATGTCCAGCCCATCACATATCCTCCTTTCCTCCTGTTTAAATTACTCTTCTTTCTTATCTTTCCTGAAAATATCTCTTCCCCCTCCACTTGCATTTGTCTTCCTTCTTTCTCACTTCTGAAGTCAAGTAACAGTCATCTGAAGAGTGCAAGAACTTTCACATCCATGCGCTCAAACTGCATTTAGCCTCACTGAAAATTGCAGCAATCCTGTACTGCAGTTACAGAATAATTTCATTTTTAATATCCAAGCAGGGAAGCCCAGTGTTGGACAGGTTTTTGCAAATGGGGCTTTTGGAATTGAATTCTCAATAAGAAGCACAGTAGGCTTCTCAGAAAGCTTTATGCCTGTGGAGGTATTCAGGAAGACAGCAAAAATCCCCTTAACTGTAAGGTTTGCCTTGGCAGACATGAAATCCATTCCCTAGAGAATGGGCACTGGAACTGCCAAAGGTAAGATGGTTAAGGCAGAAATAGCTAATTTCTTTTTCTTGGCCTTGCTCTTGGAAACAGCTTGTTTTGGCTGAAATACCCAAATTTACCCTAAACCAGACATTCATCATGTGATAAGTGTTGTTATTTGTAAGGAACAAGGGTTAGTAATGGGATGCTGGCAGATGGCCTTTATATCTGATACTGTCACTGTACTTCAGGAAGTGTAAAATTATGCAAAATGACTCCTGAAAAATTAATCATCCACAGTGTTTCAGTGAGTCATTATTACATTTATTGTCTGACTCTTCTGCTGTTTTATTATATGGTGAAAAGGAGGTAATAATGAAAGTCAGTTAAGAATTCAAGTAGAAATGAGAATTTATTTTAGACTTGTTAGTGGTTACTAAAAAGAAAACAAACTCTTGGTTACTTTTTCCCTAGGTGTGAATGAAATAAGCTACATGCACTCATGTCTCTCAAATAAGTTTAACAAAAGGTAAGTTAGACCACATTTGTTTCAGTTCAATTAAAGTTGAACATGAATCCTTCAGCTGTATGATTTGTAATGATTTAGCACAGAAGTGTAACTAATTTTTCTATTCTTGCATCAGTAAATATTTCACTAATATCTTTTCTTTAGGTGGCAAGTGTATCCACTTCACTCACGTGTGACATTAGAGGAACAAAGTAATGTATTTTTGCCTACAGTTCCTGGCTACAGAAAAGTGAGTATTGTTGAATCATTTACTTTTTTTAAGTGCGTGAAACCTTCTGCTAGAGTAATCATAGCAATAATAATGTGTACAAATTAATATTAACTGTGCCAAATAAAACAACTGTGTGAGGGCAAAGCAGTTTTGTTTCTTCAAGATGTAAACTGATTGCCTTTCTTACCAAGCTGTTGCTTTAACTGTTGTTTAGGCCTCAAGAGAAGTGCAGTAACAGGAAGTATCCTTACATTATTGTGTGACATTGATTTTACCTTCATAATAGTTTGTGCCTGTCAGTTCTTGCACCTCATGATAGTAGTGTGCTGCTGGTGGTGCTGCATGGCAAAGTAGTACCCCAGTATGGGGATGTCTTGCCTGCTTTGTACCCCACGTTTGGACTAGTGTCTTGGTTTTCTTTATCACTTCTAATAGTGTGATGCTTTGTTAAGACAAAGTCATGAGGAAGTATTTCCATTCTCATATGCTATACTACTTTATTATGCTTTTCTGATCTTAGGACAAGAAAATACAAGTTTTCTTGTGTTGTATTGCCTTTTTTATATGCAAATAGAAATACTATGTAGCCATTACATTTATATTTCTTCATAGCAAGTTGAATTTTTCATGTATAAACATTAATGTGAGTAACTTTCTTTATGCATTTGTTGCTCATTTTTTGCTTCAAAACTCAGGTTATTCTGTCTACAAACATAGCTGAGAGCTCTGTAACAGTTCCTGATGTTAAGTATGGTAAGTCATCTAAATCTTGTAATTGTGTACACCCTGTATTTGTAATGTTTTCCTTACTTGTGCTAGCCTAAATCTCCACAACGTGTCACCATTTTACAAAGCATTGCTGTTGAGGTTTAATTTTGACAGCTGTTGAATTGTTTCTTTCACAACAGAGAACAGTTTTAAATCTGAATATATGAACAGACAGTAGAGCAACTGAGTAGGGTGTTGGCTTTAATCTTTACTGGAGGGGGGAAAAATAATTTTAAATGCAGTAACAACCAGAATCAGACCTCATGTCACAAGTACTTTTAGCTTTTAATTCACATTATTCTGACTATATTTTGAAATAATTGCAACAGATTTATCAAATACCTGAACAGAATGTCTAAATGCAGAAATTATTGCTTTTTAATGCTTGTCATCTGCACTGTTTGTTGTATTTATGTTAAATTTATTTGCAGTTCTGTTAGTAGTCAGAGTATCCTGGATCTGTTTTTTTATAAATCTAGTGGTGTTCTTACTGGTTTTCAAATAATTGAAACTTCCCTTTTCTGATAACACAGAATCAACCAGTATTTCTTTTCACTGCCATGAGGATAAATTGTTTTATAATAATACTAGATTTTTTTTTTTTTTCTTCATTGCAGTGATAGATTTCTGCTTAACTAAAACTTTGGTTTGTGATGAGGAAACTAATTACCAAAGTTTGAGACTTTGCTGGGCATCTAAAATAAACTGTAATCAAAGAAAAGGTAAGATTACAGTAGGTAATGGAAAGGAATTTTGGAAGCTAACCTTCATGAAGATTTATACGTTGCTTTTCATTTTATTAACAGTAAAAAGCATGGATTATTTTTGCCATGAATAGTTCATACAAAAACATAATTCCTTACCACATCAGGATATTAAAATGTGATTAAAGAGCTATGCCTGAATGCTTTATTTTATTCAAGTATTTTTCCAGAGGAATGTTTTGTATTTTATTGAAAAATACTAAAATTCGTGGACCATAAAACTTAGGAGGATTCTTTATTTAATAGTAATTTTTTTTTAACATGGAACATTTTTAAAAAGAGGAGACAGGTACTACTAGGTATTTATTAACTTCTTGTGAGTTTCAGCAGTAAAAGAAACTTTCATGTCTATTTGTCTCTCTTACATAAGTTGAAATATCTACAGCAGTGTCTCTAATGTAGACCAGTGTTTGTAGCACAGGGTTAAATAAGATTCCATCTCACCTCTTCTAGTAGGATAGTACTCTTAAATATCTTTTTTTGTTTTCCATTTAAGTCAAAGAGAGTACTAAAAAATTAATAAGAGCGACATCTTTAGATATAAAAATATCCTCGTTTTTAAATATTATGAAGACTTCACAATTACAGCTTGTGGTGGATTGACCTTGGCTGGACACCAGGTGCCCACCAGCCAGCTCTATCACTCCCCCCTCCTCAGTTGGACAAGGGAGAAGAATGATGACAAAAGGTGGTAAGTGCAGGGAGATCACTTAGCAATTACCATTCACTAGCAAAACAGCTTCAGCTTGGGGAAATTAATTTAATTTATTACTAATCAATTCAGAGTAGGGTAATGAGAAATAACACCAAATCTTAAAACATCTTCCCCACACCCCTCCTTTCTTCCCAGGCTCAATTTCAAACCTGATTTCTCTATCTCCTCCCTGCCAGTATCGCAGGGGAGTGGGGAATGGGAGGGTGTGGTCAGTTCACCACATGTTGTCTCTGCCGCTCCTTCTTCCTTGCGCTTCTCCTGCTTTAGCATGGGATCCCTCCTATGGGAGACAGTCCTCCATGAATTCCTCTGACATGAGTCCTTCCCATGGGCTGAAGTTCTTCACATACTGCTCCAATGTGGTTCCCTTCTGTGGTGTGCAGTCCTTCAGGAACAGACTATTCCAGTGCGGGTCCCCCACAGGGTCACAAGTCCTGCCAGCAAACTTGCTCCAGCCTGGGCTCCTCTCCACAGGTCCTGCCAGGAGCCTGCTCTAGCACACACTTCCCATGGAGTCACAGCCTCCTTTGGGCACATCCACCTGCTCTGACGTGGGGTCCTACATGGGCTGCAGGTGGACATCTGCTCCACCATGGAGCTCCATGGCTTGCAGGGGTACAGCCTGCCTCACCATGATCTGCACCACAAGTTGCAGGGGAATCTCTGCTCTGGAGAACCTCCTCTTCCTCCTTCTTCACTGACCTTGGTGTCTGCAGAATTGTTTCTCTCACATCTTTTCACTCTCTTCTGGCTGCTATTGCACTACATTTTTTCCTCTTCTTAAATATGTTCTCACAGAAGTGCTGCCACCATCACTAATGGGCTCGGCCTTGGCCAGCAGTGGGTCTGTCTTGGAGCTGCTGGCATTGGCTCTGTCAGACATGGGGGAAGCTTCTGGCAACTTCTCGAAGAAGCCACCCCTGTAGCCACCTTACTATAAAACCTTGCCACGCAAACCCAGTACACAGCTTTGTTTCCGTTTGGTTCTGGGTCAGTGTAGGTTATGACAACCAGCCAATACACTACCAGTAGAAGCAGCATTTTGTATGGCAGACTTGGACTTGTTATGCAGATGAATTAAAAACATGGCCTGATTCTCCAGTGGAGTATCCCGCTGAGTCGAGTGCCTTTGAGTTTGTTAAAGTGAATGGTGTTTGGGTTTGTGAAGACAGACTTTCTGAATCATTGTGTTTTCTATAAATAATAGATTGTAAAGATGTTTTACTGTTCATTCTGGTCTCTTAGAAGTTGTTTATATAGAAGATCTTTGTTAGCTACAGAGTCAAATAGGAAATCCAAGTACACTAATTGTGTAAAGAAATACAAACACAAAGCATATTTACCCTGCATATAGAATCTCAGTTTTGGGGGTATGATAAAACTTACATTGATGTATTTATCTATATTTAGATTTGGTAGGACTTTTCTTGGTTTTGAGGGGATGTATTTTAGCACAGGATTTGTGATGTCTTTTCAACTGAGAAAGATGGATGCTGGTTTGAGGGCAGTTAGGTGAAAGAGGTATTTGGGTGAAATGTTTAAGTAACTCTCTGTTGGTTACTGCTGCTGTGAAAGCAAAATTATTTCATTTGATCCTTATATAGGAAAGGATAGAGAGAATGTCTCCACTGAGCCTGTCTGCTGCAAGAGAGCAAAATCCTGGTCAGCCTGCAAGCCTGCAGCATCAGCTGTCACCTGCTGCTCAGCTGTCCAGATGGCTTGTGGATGGATGGGTTTGAACAGCCTGAAACTTGGCAGTTTATAAATTGGTGATTTGTTCTTTTACATGAAGGTCGTGCTGGACGTGTTTCCAAAGGGTACTGCTACAGGCTTGTAGACAAGGACTTCTGGACAGACTTTATTCCAGAGAAGTCAGTACCTGAGATACTGGTAAGACTTTTGGGGAACATTAAGAATTTTTTTAATGTATGTGGTCATAGCAGAGACAATAGAAAGAAGTTCTGCTTTACTTTTCCTAAATACAGAGTACATTGTAAATAGTTACTAATAACTGTAACACTGAATGGAATTCAATTTGATAAATGATTGACAAATACCATTCCACAAAGTTTTCTTCACAGAAGGAGATACATTATAGCAGTAAAATGAATGTGGATGAGAAATAAGCAGTCTGTTCAAAAGAAAAATATCCTTAGGTCCACAAAATTAATTTCAGGTTTTTCTACATTGTAAACTTTAACTTATTTTTCATATGAAACACTTTGTCTCACTTCCTGTGGGGGGAAATAACACTAACATTGTCTTCCCTTCAGCGTTGTCCATTGGGAACTACAGTCTTAAAAATAAAAAAGCTTAATATGGGGGAACCAAAAGCCTTACTTGCAACAGCTCTTTCTCCACCCAGTGTGTGTGACATTGAACGTTGCATACTTGAGCTGAAAGAGGTAGGCATTCTTTTACTGTTGTTGTAAATCAAGGTAATAAAAATATACTGTAAAAATACATTTCTTGGTATTTAAGGTAGTAGTAGCCTTAATTGGAACCTGAAATAGGAACTGTCTTTTCTCACATATGACCATTTGATTACCGTCCTCTTCAGCATAGTTTCTGCAATTACTTCATTAAGACAGGATTATCATTTCATCAGGGGTAATGATAGTGTTTCTGAACTAGCATTGATGATGGGAAAGAATAGGAAAAAGTAAGAGTACTTGAACTCTGTAAGTGAAATTGTTTATTAATAAGTAGCAAAATCACACACACCCCTTATGATGTATAGAGCTCAGCCTGAAGATCTCCTTCTGGCCTGTACATGGAAATTGATGATTTTGCTTTTCAATTATAAAGTTGATAGAGGGTCGTTGATATGGTATGATATCAATTATAAAGTTGATTCATTGCATTAAACTTCTTTTCCAAAGTGCATAAGAAATTATATTTGTGTCATTTGTAGCTTACTTTTATACCCAGTGTATGTAGTAGAAGCTTTGGTTTCAAAAGACTAGGCTTTTAAAATTGATTTAAGAACTTAAACTAATTACAGTTTTGATACTAATTAATGTTGCTTTGAGATAATTGCTTGTTTCTTGTCTTGTTTTCTTACAAACTGGTTTTACATTTATTTTGTCAGCTTTTACAAGTGAATAAATTTTAATTTCTCTAGCTGGGAGCGCTTACAACTTGTGTGCAAACAGAAGAAAATCCACATGATGGTGAGCTGACTTTCTTAGGAAAGATATTGGAACAGTTGCCAGTGGATCTGCATCTTGGAAAATTGATAGTCCTTGGGCATGTCTTCAGGTGCTTAGAAGAATGCCTTATTATAGGTAACTGAAAAAAAGAACGTGTCATTTCTGTAAAAACAAGTGATTTACAAGTTTTCATTTTGATTTATTTATTTATTTGTTTGTTTGTTTTTGTAGCTGCAGCACTCTCTTTGCGGAATTTTTTGACAATTCCTTTCAAACAGTGTGTTCATGGACACAGGTATTACCCTTGATGTTTTACAACTTCCTGACTACATTTGGGGGCAGAAGACTTAAGTTGATACTAAATACAGTCTTTTACATCATAAGTCTGATTTTCTGTCAAAGTGCCAAGCAGTGCAAAAAACTTTTCCAGGACAGCTGAGATACTGAAATCTATTTCTATGTGAACTAATTAGTATCACAGAGCTAACTCATCCTTTTATGAGTACAAGACCTGACTCTTCAGCTTTGCCTTTCTAATGCGAACATGTAGCAGCGTCTATTAAAATAGGGGTTTTTAAATAATTAAAAAAAAAATCCTTGCTATCCTGCTCACACAGTTTACTTTCATCAAGGAGATGTGAAGAACAACAAATAATTACTATAAATATATTGACATTATTTATTGAAATATTGGAAGGTGTTAATAGTGTAGTATTCTGAGCTGTATAATACATTCAATATTTGAAAAAAGTATTGTTGATAATTCTTTTTGTTTGTGTTTCCAGGAACAAACTGTTTTTTTCTGAGAATAGTAAGAGTGACTGTATTGCAATTGTGAATGCATTTAAGGTAAGTCTTGTTTCCAAAATACCTTCCAATGAAGTCCGATAGACCAAGACAGAGCTTCTCACCTTTGTAGGGTCAGTGCAGCATTTGTGCTTTGAAGTTGCTAAAAGTAGTTAAAACTTTCACATTACTCCGACATACTTAGTGATACTTTTTGAAGGCTGTGTCCTACTGTACAACACTACTAGTTCTGATGAGTTAATTTTTACCACTGTGAAGGAGCTGCACGAGTATGCACCAAAGTAAGGTGGTAGGACATGGGTAAAAATGGGCTGCAAGGCTCAGTTTCCGGGTATATTCCCTGGTTTTTAATCTCCTATGGTTTTTGAGCTATTTGTTCTACTAAGCAGATGGAAAACAGCACAAAGAGTGAAGAGAGTGAGAGCGTGCTGCTTATCTGAGTCTTCTGCTTGCTGGTAGTAGAAGCAGATTTTGAACAAGATGGGAACTAGAGACTCAGATTCTCTTGACCCCCTGTGATCCTTTCAGTAAAGGACCTCTTTTACATGGGGAGGCAGATTTTTTCCAATCCAAGAGGTTTTACCTATGTCATTCTAGCTACTATAAAATTCATGTCTCATTGCCTCCAGCAGAACAAGTGATGGCTACCTGGTAAGCAGAATGAAGTTTCTGGAATTAATAACTTAAGGTGCTGAACAGGTTTCTAATGTAGCATATCTGCTCTCTGTGTTCTCCTGAGGATCTCACTGCAGCTGTTACTAATCTTGTTAGGAGATTGGAGTCTTCTGAACTGTAATACTTACTGTGCCTTCTCGTGCTTCTCTTGAAGGTCTGCTTGGTTCATTTTCCTGTGTCTTAATACTTTGTCTACATCTGTGCTGCTTCAGGACTTCTTTCCAAATTGTCTCTGAGCCTTGTTAGGAGAGAATGATAAAAGCTTTGTTATGGGCAGCAAGAAATTTCTATTTACTGCAAAACTGTGTCTTCCAAATTCCAGATACTGAGAACATAACAGCCTTCAGTGGTTCAGGAAAGTCTTTGATCATACTGAGTTCTGTTTCCTAATAAACCAAAATTTTTTAGGAAAATACCAGTTTTTTGGGTTTTTTTTCATCAGCCTTGGAGGTGTTTGAATACTGTTGAATTGAAATATGATAAATTTTTTAAAAATAATTCTCATAAAGCATTTATTAATTTATCTAGACAGTTAAACTTGTTTCCTGTAATTTGCACAGTTAGCAGTAATCTGGATAGAATTTAAGTCAGAAAGTATTTTCTAGGTTTTCCAGAGTACTCCTTATTTTTTTCTGCAAAGAAGCCTTGTCTTTCCTGTCGTGTGGACAGTGTCCCATTTCAACTCCATAAGAACAGATTTACACAGGGACATTCTTTTGTTGTTGAAAATACCGATTGATACAGAATCACACTGAACTGTTGTGGTGTGAACTTGTGTCACTTCTTAGCTATCAGAACGAAGCAAGTGTTAGCAGGTTGCTTCTTTTCCCTTACCTGTGCTGGTTTACTTCAGACCAGCTTATTTATCCATGTAGTGTTTGTAAATGATTATTAGTATCAACCTAAAGCAGGACTGAGGTGTTTTGTTTCAGGCCATGAATGTTAATAACCTGATAACTCTCTATCTGTTCTAAAATGACGATAGCTTTCCTGCTACTGTGTTCCTATAGAGGCTGTCCACTGATCACTGGAAATTCTGTTTTATCATAAATCCACTTTAGTCAGGGCTGAAGAATTTACAGCTTTTTTTATAGCATTGATCTCTGTATTGTAATAAACAAAAATAAAATGCCAGAGATAGTGATATTGGTAACTTCCTCTTAACCAAGAGCAGTTTGGACTGGTCAATTCTAGTACAGAGTGAGTTTAGTGTCCTTTCTCCAGAGTTCATAGCTTTGACTTTGTGATATTTTTGTTCTGTCCGAATGTGATTTTGTGTTCTTTGGCTGTTGAGTGGCGCAGTACCATGGACAGAGGCCGATGCTGCAGTTACAGGCAGCGCTGGCACTGGTAGGAAGGGCTTCTGCTGGAGGAACTTACTATTAAAAATCTAACGTTTCACATTGTGCATGGTCTGACACATTCTGTAATCTTCTGGAGACTGCACAGTTTTCAACTGTAGATTTAATTTATTCAGTTTTGTGTGTGTTGACCTTTTTTAGCTTTGGTGAAAGCTGAGTTGTTCTTCTGTGCTCTGGTGTCAGAATTTTATGAAGCATGCTTGGGCACGTATGCCACATGTACCCACTGATCCTGGGGCTCAAGCATCATATTTTCCAAGTTCCCCTTATCTTGCTGTATAGTGTATTTCCTTTGTGTCCTGTTAATCTGAAGGTGATACTTCTATAAACCAGTATTTTATCCTAGAAAATAAACAAAAACATTCAAACAGAGCTTCCTGTGCAGTATCTCTATGTGTGAGTTTTGTGAAATTTTTGTTTTAAATGGCTGAGTATCAGAAAAGAGCAGAGAAATAACTTGTTTTGAAACTTCTGGGTTCAGATTGCATTTCTTCCAGGGTAGGCTGAAGTTCTGTGAATGATTGGCATGTCTCTTTAAGCCCTTGCTTGTGCAAAGGATTCAGTAAATTAGAAAAGGTCCAAATCTTTGGTAGTAGAAAGAGGAGAATCCAGGGAAGTAAAGGATAATCAGCATAGACTAAGTGATCTGATTTTAAAAAGAGTTTTTAAAAGAAAAAAATATGTCAAATAAGTGGAGTTATTTTTTCTGACATATTAAAAGACTTGGGTATGGAAGTGATGGATGTCAGAGGCATTATTTAAAATCGGTACATCAGACAGCCACAGTCAAGGTAAAGGAACGCTGTCTGGCTGTTCAACTATGCTGATAATGTCCACCAGTAAGCTGGAAAATTTACTGAGAGGTGACTTGCTGTCAAACTAGAAGAAATTAATTCTTGAGGCATCTGTCATAAGATTTGCTGCCTAATAATGAAATTATTTTTATTAATATCCAGGGTATGTTAATTTCTCTTCCAGCCCTGTTTTCTGGGAGGCATCTACGTCAGAATTGTATCTGAATCATTCAGTTAACTTACTGTTGTCCCAAAGCAAGGAGAAAAGAAAGACTCTGAAAGTAGACTGCTTTATTACAGCATCAAATCAAAGCATCCAAGTTGTTCTGTTTATTTATGAATGTTTGTATATGCTTTCATGCTCAGACCATCTCCTCTCAGAAAACTAGATGGATAACCTGTTGACAAAGCCTTAGAACATAATATGCTTGATCTGCTTTTGGAGTGCACCAAGATCCAGAATCTCTAAGCTCCATCCAGAAATTCAGTGACCTAAATGCTGTGCTTACAGTTTAGTTGGAGGAGCTAATGGCAAGCTTGAGGCAGTACATGCAATTACAGTTCATCCAATAGTGCTTAAATTCCTTTTCAGTCTGTAGACATGGCATTGCATGCCATAACCTCTCAGCTGACTTGGAGGCAGAATAGTTGTCTTCCTACAGCAATTCTTGTTCTTTAGCGTGTTGTGGTACTACGTTTGTAACCCTGCCACACTTTCAACCCTCCGGTAACGCATTCTTAGAGTTACATTTTGCAGCCACACCATTTTGTGTGCTCACATATGAGCAAAGGAAGACCCAGAGTTCTTGCCCACCTTCAACAAAATAGAGTATTCGTAAGAGTGAGAAGTATTTATCTGCTTAGGAACCAACCAGGCAAGCATCAATTTAGACTACAATCATTAAATAATTAAGACTGAAAGGACCTCAGGAGGTCTGTAGTCCAGTTGACTGCTCAGAACAGGTTCAACCTTGAGGTCAGTCAAGGTTACTCAGGGTTTTATAGACAAAAACCTAATCTTAGTTGGACCTGCTGTGTGGGATGTTGGAAAAATTGATCTGAAGAAGTCTCCTCTAACCTAAATTACTGTGATTCAGGTTTCCTTACACTCTTTTGTGCTTCATATTTGTAATCTGTGTTAGCCCAAGGGCATCTCTTAAAAAATTACAGGTATGGAAAAAAAAAAAATCTAAGGACACATTAATATTTGTAATAATTTTTACTAAAGCACTACGATTTGTGCCTGAATACTACACTATTTCTTTCTTAGGCATGGCAGGCCTGCAGACTAAAAGGGGAGCTGAGACATCCCAAGGTTAGTTAAACTTTATTTCTTCTTTTCTATTCAAGGTTGATTACTTCAGTGTTGGAGTATTTTATATACTTAGTAAGGAATTTTTGCTAGCAATCCCTTTTTAATAGTTACAGTTTTTTGTAAGTAAATAGAAGCACAGGCTTTGAAAGAACATGAGTCTTTGATTCCACTGCTGAGTATTTGAAGGCAATCCCTTATGTAGTGCCTTTCACAGATGGATCAACAGTGGCCAGAGGGTTTGAAATCCAAGCTGAAAAGGAAAGTTGAGTTGTAGTTGAAAGAAGTATTTTTTTAATATGCGTAATTGTCTTTTTATTTTTTTTAAAGAAACATACAGTTCTCACGCACACAAAAAAACCCTGAAAGATGGAATGTCTTTATGTGTAACAAAAAATTCTATTATGCACACAGTAACTGCCTCCAGTCTTTCTTTTGTGTGTATAAGATAAAGCTTTTTTTATTTCTCTTCTTCTTTCAGAGCTTTTTTTTTTTTTTTTTTGAGGAAGTGTCCATCTTAAAGTAGATTCTGTGGTAGCCACACAGAGGAGTTGGACTTGTGGGTTTATATGAAAAATTTAGATGACCCACAGGTGTACTGGTGGTAACCAAGGTATAGTTCAGTAGTCAAACACATAATTGTCTTATATTTTCACATATGTCATAGTACTCAATTGATATGGATGCAAAGAAAGCTGTGAAGTGAGATCAAATTCTTCCATTGCTGTAGATAACTATTTGTGTCTACACAGAAGAATGTTAGAGAAAGCTTACTAGCAGTAGAAGAAACAAGTTTTTAACAATTTTTGCATTTGCATTTTTCACTTTCATTTCCAGAAAGAACTTGAGTGGGGTCAATCAAATTCTATTCATATCAAGAGGATCAGAGAGGTAATAATTTCTATAAGCTGAGAGATTTAACTTGCCTTATTTTCTACAATAAGATCTTGGATAAGCCTACTGTATTGTTATGTATCTGTCAATATATAGAGATGTATGTTTTCTTTAAATTGAATTTTTAGGCTTTGTTTCTTTGTGAGAGGAGAGATGATACAATTTAAAGTTGTCAGAGAATATCTGGACTCCAATTTCAATTTAAAACAGATCAACTGGAGCTTTATCAGCTATGATCATAGTGAGCACACATTCGGGCAGTATTTCCTCCTCTGCTCCTCTCTTTTCTCTCAAGTGGTTGTAGAGACCCCATTTAGATACAGTTTCAAAGGAAAGAAGTGAGAAAGATTATTGTAATGGTAACAGAGCCAGGTGTGCATTCTTGTGAAAAATAGATTTCAGATAATCATTTGTATGTTAATAAGGCCAAGTATGTATTCCTTGGAAGGATGGACCCTTTAAGTAGTTTAACTGCCACAGTTGACACTTTGGAGATACGGCTCTTGGTGGAACCCCTAGGAGTGGCACATCCAGTATTATCTTATCTCAGAAGTGGTGTGAAATTATTAACTGTTAAATATATTACTGACATTTTTTTTTAAGAAACCTCCAGTATTATTTGCTAAGTGTGTAGGTCCCGCAGACTCACTGGCTGTGGTGTGACTGCTGTCTGTTGTTATGTAATTTATGTCTTATATTTAGGATAATTTTAAGCGAATACAATTATATAATGAGGAGTGAACTGGAAAATTTATGGGGCTTTGTGGCTGACGTTACTGCAGCAAGTAATGAAAACTCTGCATCGCACAGGGCTTCAAGCTTAATGTGATTTGTTGAGAGGAAAAATAAGTAAAACTGAGTAACTGTGATTGGCAGAGCATGGCCTTGTGCATTGTTCCAGCAGGTCATACCTTTGGCATGAGCAATGTTCATGTGTTCAAAAAGTACAGGGGGAAGCAGAAAAAAAAGGCTCTTTCATAGTAAGCAATCATCTGGATAAGAAATGCCAAAAGTTTTTGAGCTTGTATATCTCATAAAAGAAAAAAGGATGGGGGATGGGGGGTGGGGGGGGTGGAAGATGAGAACAGAGCAAATTGTGGAAAACTGGAGAGCTGAAGGATTACTCTCATATGATAGCCTCCTGGGTAGTTGGTGTTCTCTTAGCCCAGTTTCAGATAATTCAAAAAGAGGTTGTGCATGACATAATAGTTCAGGAGTTTAGAATGGGCACCTACACTAACACTTATTAAGAAGATTTGGGTTTTTTTGTTTACCACACTTTCAGGTACTAATTTTGTAATTCCTTGTGTGGAAGTAGATTTGCAGAACTGAGGCAGCCACTCAGACTATTATAAATACCATAATACTGATTATGGTGTTTGTCCTATGAGGAAAGTAACAGGACTTCTAGTATCCTAAAACTGCCAGCAGCAGAAAGGAAAATGGAGATATGAAGCAGTTGAGTGGGCTGCACTTTTCTACATTTCCTCCAAATCAGGTGGGACAATGAAGACATTCACTGTGTGATTGGAGAAACACCAGTGGCTGCTTATGGAAGCTTCTTAGAAATGCTTAGGACTGAAAGCTTAACAGAGCATCTTCTGCTGTAGGGCATAAGTTTGATCTCACTTAGTCATCACAATTATCTCTTGAACTGAGGGTGCAGCGTGTGTGGTCATTGCTACAGTTAGGTGCAGAAGTCCAGGTTGTTGTTAGTATGTTTTTTACCTTTTAAGATACAAACCCAAAATTATTTAAATGGAGAATCAGTATATGATCTTGTAAAATGTTATTTCAGTTCTTTCTCTATATCATATATGCTTTATATATGCCTTGCAACTACAAAATTCTGCTTTATAAAGAGACATCAAGAAAACTGAGTCACGGTACTGAAATTATTTTCCAAAGTAGAGATGCTAAGCAGTATATCAGGGGAAATACATACTGGTGTCAACTAAAAGCAAAGGGGGTTTGCCCATGTATTTAGACTTTTACTAAAATATTTTATTTTAATTGGTGGATGGTTTTGATCTGTTTAATATGTAACTTAGAGTTCAAATTTCAGGTGGAAGTGTTATTTCACTACTTAAAAGAGCGAGTCAGTGCATTTAACATGTTTGTTAATGCACAACCATCTACTATGGATGAGGAATATGTATACAAACAGCGCTTCATTTTGCAGGTAACGCTTTATTGAGTCTTCAAAGGAGAAATGTTATTTACAAAATTTGTAGCTGAATTTTTATATGCTAGTACTGATGAACTAGTATTACACCTGTGTTTCAAAATTCTCTGTAGATTTTGAGATTGCAGGTGAAAAAATTCTTTTGGACAACTTGGACAACTATTGTTACTTTTAATGGTTCAGAATTCACACTAAGTTGATCCTTTGGCTGTGCTTCCACTTCTGACAATTCATCAAAATAAAACCAAGTCATACTGAGATGAGTTAAACTGCATATCTAGATTAATCTTTGCTAAAGTCATGAAAATACTCAAAAGGATGATGGTTTGTGTTGAAAGGCTGAGAACTAACAGTTTTGAGAATGATTTTTTCACTCGATTTAAGTGCTGTATTTGGAGCACTGCTGGCTTTGTCATTCACTGAGTGGGAGTGGGGGGAATTAGATGTCTTAACGATTGTAACTTTGTCAAATTTCCAATTAAATTTCTTGTCTTATTTGGACGGATTAGTAGTGATTTTATTTTCACAGAGCTGTTTATAGTTTCAGTGGTGATTGGTTTAACTGTGTAAGCAGTGAACTTTTCAGAGCTGAATTGTTAAATACTGTAAGGTGTAACATGAAAACGGAACAAGTTTCATGTAGCTATTTTGTGGGAATTCATTTTAAATTTAGGCTCTTCTTGATATCAGGGTTAACAATTATACTTTTCGTAGAACAAGTCTGCATACACTAAAATGTTGTAAATTGTTCCAGAAGTTGAACTCTTTTTCACTAAAGTATGTTTTTAAGGGTTTGCCCGAGTTAATGTTTAGTCTGAAATGACAGCAATTCCTGCAAAGAGACAGGGAAATTCTTCACATGAATATCTGTCGGTATCTCTTTATGTTGCTGTTTTTCTTTTCAAGAAACTGAATATAATCTGCTGTGCTTTACAAAATGTTTCCTTCGTTTCAGGTTGCAATAGCTAGTGCTTTCTATCCAAACTACTTTACTTTTGGAAAATGCGCTGAAGAAGTTGCTGTGAGAGCCCTTAATGGCAAAGATCCAAAAACGACTGTAATGGTATGTAAGAAGGTGAAAGACTTAATAAAGAATCGAGTAATAAAAGTATGTAGTCTCTGGGCAATATTTTCAAGTTTTGTTCTCTCTTGGGCAAGGTCAGAAATAATTATCTACTCTGATCCTTGCTTGGTAAGTTGTCTTTTCTCCCATCTCCCTTTCTTCCAATATAATAAACATTGTGTGGGTGGGCAGTTTTAGAATTCCTACTGAGAACTGCCTCTATGCATTTGATTGCTAGTCTTGCAGAGGCAAATAACTTCCATAAAACTAATAAAGGATTTGAAAATAGAACAGGACTATCAAGGACACTTTTTAGTGAGTATTTATGAAATGTGTTGTTGCGACTTTAACGTTACTTTTCTGTAATCTCCCACTTGATAGTCCATGACATACGTGCTTGTTGCTTTAAGGTTACTCAGGTATTGCACTTTGCTTTCTTTTTATCTTCTTCTTTTAGGAATATTTTTTTTATCTGATTGAGTAAGTGCAAGTTTGAAATGGCTGTGTTGATTTTGCAAAATGGTACACAATCTAAACTAGGAAAATGTTTGGTGTATCTGAACTGTGTATAACACTGTAAAATAACCATGACCTATGCTTAAAGAAGACAAACCTACAAACCAGTGAGCCTCAAAGAATAAACTTGTATTGGCACAAGAGAAAATAGATGAAAAAGGAGGAGAGAAACTCATAAAAGCTTTCTGACAAGGAATTTTTTTGTGCTTTACTGCTTACCCAAGAAGAGAGGCAAGTTCTATGCCGAAGCAGATGCTAGCATGGCAGTATGTGTGCACAAACACGTTTATGTATGTTTTTGAAGTTTGTAACATACTTCAAAGAACAACATACATGAAGAAAAAAAAAAAAGTCCTGCATAACAGACTAGACAATCTGGTAGAATAAAGATAAGATTAGTCTTGCCACAGCAATGTTAAAATTAAACTGTTAGATCTAAGGAACTATTTACTTTTATTGTATGTAACTCTTGATCTTCTCATATATTAACTGCTTGTTATCTTGGAGAAGGAAGAAGTAGCTACTCTGTCTTCATCAGTATAAATGATCTTCTGGGCACAAATGCTGCACATCCTTCAAGCTCTCAATCTGAGACACTGTTCTTATAGCTGTGTGGTGCTCCTAATGGTGTGTGCCAAAGATATAAAAGGCAGTTACTCCTCACTCTGTGGTCTCGCTAAATCATCTCACCTTGAGGTAATTTCTGCAGTCTGACCTAGACCATGTTTTTGACTAGCAGCTGATCTTAGTACTATAACTTCAAGGCATATGAAGTTTTTCAAAAAATAATGTATTCTTTCCTGTCTAATATTGTGACAACAAAAGAGAAGAATGGACAATTATACAGCCCCTGAAAAACAGTTCAAATTACAGAAGTTTGAACTTGCTAGTTGAGAGTTCTGTGATTCTGTATTAGAGCAAGATGAGATGATGTCCTATGAGACATCATAGAATCATATAATGTTGTGAATTGGA